TGTGTGTGTGTGTGTGTGTGTGTGTGTGTGTGTCCATGCTCGTGTATGTGAATGTAGGGCTGGGTGTGGTGGCACAAATCTTTAGTCCCAGCACTCGGGAGGTAGAGTCAGGCAGGTCTCTATGAGTTAGAGGTTAGCCTGGTCTACACACTGAGTTCCAGGCCAGCCATAGTGAGACCCTGCATAGTGCTGCATAATGAGACCCTGTCTGAAAAAGCAGTCATACAGAAAACAAATCCCACCAATACACACGTGTACACCTACACTCAGAAATGGGAATGGGAGTTAGAGCTAGGTCTGAAATTATGACCAGGGATTGTCTACTGTCCTTTAGCCTTTAGTGTCCCCTGGTCATTAATAAAACTGTGGCTTAGCATTTTATTAGGATAAGGCTGTAAGAAAGTTGTGAAAATATTGTTCTTCTCACCAAGTCCTCTGTGTATGGATTGTCCACTGGAGGAGGTGGTAAAAGTCAGGAGAGAGAGGACTTGTACCCAGCCTGTCCTCTGTCCACTTAGCTGTATATCCTGGTGTCGAGTCCTGCAAGCATCTTTTTCATCCAACACCAAGGGCTGGTCCACTCAGAACCAGTCACAGCCTTGAGACTGGGGACAGGAAGTGACTGCCTTAGGCACAGAGGAGTGAGCAGAAGATAAAAGACTGGCCTCTGGTACACATGAAGTGATGTGTCAGTCATCTGGGTTCTGGGCTCTGTGGGGCAGGGACAGAGAGCCCTACTTTATAGAGGGGAAAACTGGTCTAGGATAGAATGGGACATGCCAGGGCTTCACTTGAGCAGTGGCAGAGCCAGGCTGGCCTCATACCTCAGGTGGAATTGGAGCCCAGGCCTGGGGCCTAGGGACCTACTGCCAGGCCTCCAACCTTTCATTCACCCAGGCCTAGGAAGCGCACCAGCACTCAGGACCTCCAGAAGATAGGTCCTACCCCAGATAGGATGGACAGGATGCTTTGGAGCCAGGGAGAATCAATGGGGCATGCGCACTGGGTAGGAGTAGTGCCAGAAGTATAGTAGGCCTTCACGAAACCTACCTGCCACAGCTTCCAGTCCCTAAGTGTCAGGAAATACTCTTGGCTCAGGGGTCCATCAGCAGTGCTGTGTCCCACCTACCTTGCACTTGCTGTCTTGGCTCAGAGGGAGCTGGCTTGGGAGGGTGGGGGTCACTTCTGTACCCTTTTAGCTGGGAGCCCAGCCCCCACCTAGTTCCTCATAGCTACAGGAAGTGTCTCCAAGGCTTCTTGCCCACTAGCCGGAGAGCTCAGAGTCCTGTGGATGTCCAGAGGTGCAGCTGGTGCCTAGGAGGGTGGCCTTGCCTCAGGTACCATCTGTCTGCTGGGACAAGCATGGGTGGGGCAGGGTTTTGGGCATGTTGGGGCATAGGGGCAGCTGTGCCCGGCTCTTGGGCAGTTGTGTGCACTTGAATTGTTGGGAGCATGAAGCCTGCAGGTTAGTGGCAGGAGGGCAGCCGTGTTGTGTGGCTGCTGGGTGGAGAGGCAGGCTGAGGTGCACATTTGTGGTGCTGTGGGTGTGGTTGTAGACCCAGGTGGTTGTGTGGTTGTGGTTCCTGTGTGAAGAACTCGGAAGGGTTTCCCAAGGTATGGGTGCTGGGCTCTCAGCCTAGTTGTCTGGTCTTGGAAACCTGGGGTCATGGGGCTGTGGGGCAGGGGTTGGACTATGCAGAGGGGCAGGAAGGGACAACTGAGACCTCAGCTGGGCCTTGGCTTGCTTTCCCTCCCACTTTTTCCAGGGCTGGGTCTCCTCTTGAACTTGGAGTAGAATCATGTTCGTAGGGGATGCAACTTGGGAGGCTGAGTGGCCATGGGGCCTCCTGAGGGTAGGGGCAGTGAGGACCTTTTAGGCTGTCCTAGTTGCCTGACTCACTCATGCAAATCAGAATGCAAAGAAGGCAAGGGGAAGCCTCTAGAGAGGGGCACACCCATAGGACCAGCAGGCTCTACAGGTGACTGGGCATCTGCTTCCCAAGCCACTGGGTGACCTATCATCCTGCCCCACTGGACTGTCCCATCTCTGGAGTACTTGGTCCTTTCCTGTGTGACCCTGGGCTTTGCACATTCAGTTCCCTTTGCATGGAACAGTGTCTTTCCTTTCTCCACCCAGCAGCCTTCTACGGGTGCTGTGAGGCCCAGGGCGGCAGGAGCCTTCTGGAAGCTTTCCTGCTTGGTTCACAGAGGCAGTCTATCCTCTGAAGGCCCCATGGGCTGCTGCAGAGGATTTGGGCAAGTGTCTACCTCATGCATGTGACATGGAGTGGACTAGACACCCCAGGCTTTGGGATTGTTGTGAGGACTAAGGGAACGGAGGTGGGAATCTGGCAGGGGCAGGGCCCACAGTGGCACTTGGGAGGGGAAAAGAAGCTTGAGTGTGTCTGACGCCAGGCAAGGCTCTGGGTTATCTTGTTGGATTGGTGAAGTTGGTGTCACTAGTCAGTAGTGGATACCATTGCCAAGAAAGGGCTATCAGGCTTGGACAGAAAAGGGGCAGTGAGTTCAAACTCTGGAGTTGGGTTGAAAAGATCATTAAAAGGGTTAAAGTTTTGGCTACAGCAAGAGAGTTGAGCCAGACCCCAGGAAGAACTGGCTGGTAAGGATTAGAGATTTTAGATGATCTTTTCCTCTGAACTGGGACTTAATGCCAGGCCTTGAGCTCTGGAAGGCAGGGGGATAAGAAGAGATGCAAACTCAGACCATGTTGGTTGTTTGATGCAGGTGGACCCTCACAAACAACTACTAAGGAGGGTGGGCAGAAGCAGGACTGAGTGGCATGTCCTCTGAGCCTAGGAGACCGAGGAGCAGTCACAGAGGACTTTCTGGAAATGGTGGCCTGGAGAGGGGTCAGGGTGATTGGTATACTCATTGTCAGCTGGCAGTTTCAGGCCTCCCCTATACCAGGCTGGTGCTGTTGTAGGAAATGACACAAAAGGAGTTGGGATTGCGGTTGGCTCAGCCCTATTAGGCTTTGGGTATGTCACTGAGCATTTAGGCAAGTCACTTCCTCCCTGTGGTGTTTGTTTCTTCATCTGTAAGTGGCAGGACTGGACTTTAGTAAATGACAGGCCAAGGAGCCCTTTGAGGGCACAGGGAACCCCACCAGGACTTTGGGCTGGGAGGGACCATGGCAGTTGGCAGGCCCAGCTGAGCGATACTGGAGGGAGAAACAGAGGTGGGATGTGGCTGGCTGGGCAAACCTGACTGAGTTTTGCTGGGACAGACCACCCCACCACCACCTATGACTGTGCTGTTGCAACACAATGCCCCTTCTACTAGTGGGTGAGGGCAGAGCTAAGTACACAACTTAAGGAGGTGCCTAAGAGCTCAACTAGCAAGATTCAACTAGCAAGATTGCTATTTAAAAAGTTAAAACTAGGGGTGGAGAGATGGCTCAGCTGTTAAGAGCACTGGCTGCTCTTGGAGAGGACCTGGGTTCAGTTCACAGCACCCACATGGTGGCTACCATCTGTAATTTTGATTCCAGGGGATCTGACACCCTCTTCTGGCCTCTGCAGGCATTATACACACATGGTGCACTTAAGTACATGCAGGCAAAACTCTCATACACATGGGGCTGGAGAGATGGCTTAGCAGTTAAGAGCACTGGCTGTTCTTGGAGAGGACCTGGATTCAAATCCCAGTACCCACATGGTGGCTACCAACCATCTATAACTCCAGTTCCAGGAGATCCAGTGCCCTCTTCTGTCCTCCACAGACATTGCATAACATGGGTTCATTTACATACATGCAAACAATGTACTCATACACATAAAATAAAAATAAATAAAAAATTAAAAAAGTAATAAAACCTCATACACATAAAAACAAATAAGCTGAGTGTGGTAATGCTTGACTTTAATCCTAACACTTGAGAGGCAGAGGCAAGTGGATCTCTTTGAGATGGAGGCCAGCCTGGTTTATATATAACAAGTTGCAAGCCAGCTGGAGCTATAGGGAGACCCTGTCTCAAAAAGTCAAAATAAGGGGCTGGAGAGATGGCTCATTGGTTAAGGACACTTGTTCTTCCAGAGGACTTGGGTTCAATTCCCAGCACCTACATGGTGGCCAAGAACTGTCCATAACTCTAGTTCCAGGGTTTCTGATAGCTTCTTCTGGCCCCTACAGGCATTACACGCACATGGTGCACTTACATGCAAGCAAGACACTCATACACTTAAAAAAATAATAAGTTAAATAATTTAGAAAATAAAAAATCACATAAAAAATCCATGACGAACAAAATATAAAATACCACGATTTTTACTAAAGAAAGAATGGTATTGCCCAGATGCTCTGGCCTCAGCAGTGACTTCCACAGACTTCAGTGTGGAATGGCCACCTCCAGGAAGCCACCCCGATCCAGCCTGGTGAGGTCCCTGGGCTGTGTTCTCTGGTGGGTGGTGCCCAGCCTGAGGTTCCTGGGGCCATCTAGGTCATACTTCTAGTTTCTTGAATAGCAGTCCCCAAGACTGTCAGCACTGAGCCGCTGGGTCTCTGACCTTGGCCAGCGTCCTTTAGCACAGGAATAGGAACTTGAGAGAGGCCAGGCTGTTCTCAGGGAGAGCAGTGGGTTCCTGTTTCCCAGCCCTTTCCAGCAGCAAGGTGGGCCATCACTGTTCCTCTCATGTTTTACCTCAGCCACCTGCCTGTCCTCAGCAGGCTCTTCTTCACATTTGCTCTAGTTTCTAGGGGTAGTGAGCAGCATGGTTAGGAATGGAAAGCTGCCCTGCTCATTAGACAGTGCAAAGAGCAGGCTGGGAGATGGCTCAGTGGTTAAAGCACCTGCTGTACAAGCTTGATGACCTGAGTTCAGATCCCTAGAGCCAAGATGAAAAGCCAGTTGCATGGGCTGGCAAGATGGCTGAGCAAGTAAAGGTGTCTGCTGCCAAGCCTGATGACCCGAGTTCAATCCCTGGGATCCACATGGTAGAAGGAGAAAACCAGCTCCTGCCAGTTGTTCTCTCTCTTTCCAGTGCACATGTCTGTATTGCTGTGCTCCTACTAGAAGATGGGAGGTGGAGACAAGAGACTCCAGAAGTTTGTGGAGGGTAGGCAAAAGCAGTGCTAAGCTGTAACCTGGTGTACACAGTGGTAAGTGATGAGATACCCTGTCTCAAACAAGGTGATGGGTAAGCATACATGCCCAAGGTTGCCCTCTGACCTCCACAGGCACATCTTAGCATGTACATGCCTATGGTCACATGCATACACATATAACACCACACACATATACATACAAGTGCAAGAGCTGACATGGTGGCACAGTCTGTCATCCCAACACTCAGGAGCCTGAGGCAAGATGATGAATTCAAGGCCAGCTTCAGCTATATAGCAAGTTTGTGGAGAGCCTGGCTACATGAGACCCTGTCTCAAACAAAACAAAACAAGAAATAAATATAAGCTGGGCGCGGCAGTGTGTGCTCTTAATTCCAGCTCTCGGGGGACAGAGGCAAGCAGTCTGAATGAGACTGAGGCCCACCTGGTTCTACAAAGTGAGTTCCAGGCCAACTGTGGCTATAGGGAAATCCTGTCTCAAAAAGACTGGGGAGGGGGGGAGCAGAAAGGAATATGGTTCAAGCCACAGATGCATTGCAGTTTGCTAGTAGGCACATTCAGAAAGGAAGGAAGGTGGGCTGGGTACGTATGTAGTTCAGTGATAGAGGACTTGCCTAGCATGTGCAAGGCCCTGGGTTTGACCCCAGTACAAAAAAACCAATAAGAACAATGGATTTTAATGATTTATTTATTCATTTATATGAGTATGACTATTTTGCTAGCATGTACATACAACACATATGTGCCTAGTGCCCAAGACCAGAAGAGGGTGTCAAATCTCCTGGAACTGGAGTTACAGATGATTGTTAGCCACCATGTAGGTGCTGGGACCTGAACTTGAATCCTGCAAGAGCAGCCAGTGCTTTTAACTGGCTGAGCCATCTAGAGAGATGCTGAGCCATCTCTCTAGCCCCTATTTTAAATTTTTATTGTATTCATTTTTTTAATTTTAATTTTTTTGAGTCAGGGTCTTGTATAGCCCAGGCTAGCGTCAAACTCACTATGTACCCAAGGCTGTCCTTGAACTCCTGATCCTTCTCTTTCTGCCACCTGGCTGCAATTTGTTTTAATAGTGTGTGTGTGCATATATATATATATATATATATTTTTTTTTTTTTTTATTTTTTTTTTGGTCTTTTGGAGACAGGGTTTCCCTGTAACCCCAGCTGACATGGAACTCACTATTTAGTTCAGGCTGGTCTTGAATTCACAGAGATCAGCCTGCCTCTTGTTTTAATAGTATTTTAGGGGCTGGGGAGATGGCTCAGCAGTTAAGAGCAGTGACTGCTCTTTCAGAGGACCTGCGTTCAATTCCCAGCACCCACATGGCGGCTATGAACTGTCCTTAACTCCAGTTCCAGGGGAATCCGAAACCCTCTTCTGACCTCCATGGCATTGCACAACACGGGTGCACTCACATATATGCAGGCAATATACTCATACACACAAAGTAAAAATAATAAATAAAATATTTAAAAAATAGTATTTTGAATCTCAATAGCCCCAATATTATCATTCCTCATGTAATCAATAGGAAGAGATCGAAATATTTTATCCTTTTTTTGTACTGCTTCAAAAATCCCCTAAGTTCAGAATCTAGTGCATTTCATTGGCGGGGCAGGGGCGGGGGGGGACAACACTGTGTCACATGTTTAAAAGCCATGTATGGCTGTGCCAGCAACTGTATTTGACAGGGCAGATCTAGGCTACATTTAGATTGTGCCTTACTAGTTGTGTGTCTTTAAGCAAGTTATTCAACTTCTCTATGCTATAGTTTATTCATCTTAAAATCAGTATAAATTGGAGGCTGGAGAGATGGCTCAGGAGTTAAGAGCACTGGCTGCTCTTGCAGAGGACCCAGGTTTGTGTCCCAGTACCCACATAGTGGCTAACAACTGTCTCCTCCAGTTTCAGGGGCTCTGATACCCTCTTCTGGCTTCCACAGCATTGTATATGACACAGGTGCACTTACATGCAGGGAAAACACTCATATACATAAAATAAAAATGAATAAAAAGTTTAAAAAAATCAGCATAAGTTATTTGCATATTTTAGGTCATGGTGAGTATTAAATGAATTGATATAAGTAGTGCTGAGGGGTGGCTAGAGTGGTGACTTAGTGATTAAGAGCACTGGCCACTCTTGCAGAGGACTTAGGTTTCAGTTCCCAGCACCCACATGGGGGCTAGCAGCTGTACATAACTTCAGTTCCAGGCGATCCAACACCCTTTTCTGGTCTTTGTGGGCACTGCATGCATGTGGTGCATTTACATGCATGCAGGCAAAACACACATGTGTAATAAAAAAAGTGCGTGTGTGTGTGTTATTATGCCACCGGGCATAATAAGCAGTTTGTCTTTTTTTTTGTCTTTTTGAGACAGGGTCTCCTTGTAGCCCCAGCTGCCCTGGAACTCATTATGTAGACCAGGCTGGCCTTGAACTCATGAAGATCCGCCTGCCTCTGTCTCCCGAGTGCTGGGATTAACCACGCCCGGCAGCAGTTTGTCTTTTTAAAATACTCATTTGAGTCCCTTTGATAGTTCAGTTGGTAGAACGGAGGACTGTAAAATACTCATTTGAGTAGTCCTGCCATTTTTGCCAACACTTTCATCCAAAGTACCAATTACTTTAAATTAAAACAAACAAACAAACAAAAACTTTAAAATCACATCCCTGGGGCTGGGAAGATCGCCTGTCTATAGGGCTTGCTGCTCAAACATGAGGACCCACGTTCGATCCCTCCCTAAGAAGCTGGACATGGTGGTGTGCACTTAGAGACAGAGACAGGAGGAGCCTTAGTGTTCTCTGGCCAGCCAGCCTAGCCTATTAGTGAGCCCCAGGTCCCAGTGAGAGACTCTGCCTCAGAAAGTAAGATGGGTGGCTCCTGAGACATGACACTTTAGTTTGACCTCTGGCCTCCACACACACGTGCATATTCTTAACGCCAGCACCCTCAGATGCGTGCATCCACACTTACACCCACAGACACATATTCACACAAAGTACTTTGCTTTTTGTGGGAGGTATTGTTTTGTCTGCTTTTTGAGGTAGGGGGTCTTACTATGTAGCCCAGGCTGGCTGGTACTTGCTGTATAGTCCAGGGTGGCCTCAGATTCATGGTAATGCTGCCTCAGCTTTCCAAATGCTAGGACTCTAGGCATGTACCACTGGTTCTGTTTCCTGTTTTAACCCTGCCCTAAGCAATGAAAGTTGTAGAATCTACTTAACCATAAATAAATAATTGTGAGAGCTCCTAAAACCATTGTAGAGAGCCCAGGAGTTACTGGGTTACCTCTGTCCTGGTGGCAGGGGATCTGACTTTGCTTTGGGTCCTACGGAGGTAGCTTGTCCATTACATTGAGCCCACTGTGCCCCATCCCTCGGAGCCTGGGTCATCTGAGTACCAGGGTCATGGACCTGTCTGCAAGCCTGCTCTCTCCTTTCCTGGAAACCCCTCTTGGCTCACTTTCCTTGGCCCTTGGAGTCTTATGCCCCTGCTTCAGTTGCCCTACCTCTGCCCCCAGCCTACTCGGTGGTTCCTAGGCTTAGTGGAAAAGGGTCCTGTGTCTCCTGTCAGAAAAACACCTTGTCCAAGGAAATGCATCCTGCCTCCCTGACTCACTAGTCTCTTTGCAGACTGCCCTTCAGGCATTCCTACCACTGAGGTCCCAGCTCAGGGGAGCCCCCTTGGCACCTGCAGGCCATACCTCTAGCAGGTTGCCCTTCCCTCCTTGGAAGGACTTCCTGGGGATCTGACTCACTGCCAACTTCCCAATGCCTTGGCGCCTCCTCTCTCCCTACTCTCTCTCTACCTCTTCCCATCCATCCTATCTTCCCCTTTCTTTGGTTTGCCCCATCTCCTCTCTTCCTCTTTTCCCCCTTTCCTGCCTCTTCTTCCTCCTTTCCTGGCATCGCTTACCTGATGGACTTTCTCCCTCTCTGTCCCTGCAGCTTCCACCTCAGAGTGCCATGTGGCGCCCTTGGGAATAACTGCAACCTCCTGGGAGGACCAGGTGTCCTTAGCAGCCCAGCAGGTGAGTAGGGAGCTGGGACTTTGGGGTGGGAGCTTCATGGGGGCTGAGACCTGGGGTCCCATATTCTGTTTGGGGAGCTGGAGTTGAGAGAATGAAGCTTGAGAACTTGGTTAAGGCCTTCCCAAGGAGGAGGACAACGCAGGACCCCAGACTGGATTGCAGGGTGCCAACCTGATTTGTGTCCCCTACTTGCTGGCTGGGTTTTGGTCTCTTTTTCATTTCCAAGCACTGTTTATAGTGATTACATGCTCTCTCTTTCTCTTTTTTATATTTACGTGTGTGTGTGTGTGTGTGTGTGTGTGTGTGTGTGTGTGTATGTATGTGTGAGTGTGTACAACACACAAGTGGAAGTCAGGAGTCTGTCTCTCCTTCCATCCTGTGGGTTCTGGGGATTGAACTCAGGTTGTCAGACTTGGTAGCAAGAACCTTTACCCACTGAGCCATCTTGCCAGCTCCACATTCTCCTTTAAATCACATTTATTTGGAGCCAGCAGGGGTAAGAAGTATTACAAAATTAAAAAGAAGGATCTAGCAACTCGTCTTTCCAGCTCCCCTTTCTCCCCAAAGACAGCCTCTTGTTTATCCACCTGGAGGTATGAGTGTTCATGAAACTTCTTTTTCTTTAATTCAGATGTTTCTATAACAGGGTTTTGTATCTTGCTTTTCCACATCTCTAACATCAGCATGTATAAACTTCAGAGCCTAACCTAATTCCAGCTGGTATTTCAGTTGGGAAATTCCCTTCAAGTTCTAGTTCAATGTTAGAAGAACTTCTTTGTACTGTTGAGAGCCTCTGTATTCCAGAATACTGAATGCATTTGTTTCTATATTACTACTGCTCTTTAAAATTCACATGCTACAAAATTTAGGTGATAAACTATGTAAAATGAAACTTCTTCCTCTATGCTGAGGTAGATTTCCAGGTAAGTTGAATTTCACTGAAGGCCATTCTAGGATCTAAAGAGGGGCTCGAACAATGTGTTTTGTGAATTTTCCAAAAATAACTTATTCTTGTATTGTTTTTCCCACAAAAGATCACCTCAATTCTATAAGCTTCCAGCTCTGTGACCCCGGTTTCTGTCCCCCTCAGCTTCAGCTTCCCTCCTCTGAGGAGAGTTCCCTACTGTGGCCTTGCCTTCTGTCCCTGTCGCCCCTGAGGCATTTAACCTTGTATACACACTGGCCCTTTCTCCCTTGGCTGTGTGTAGGTTTTTCTTGTAGGAAAAGGCTGAATGCTACACCCTGCTCTGAACATTTTCTTACTCACCAGACTCTTGGCGGCCAGTGTGGAAGGAACTTCTTCCTTATCACAGCCACTCTGTATTATATTGCGTGACTATCCCATAATTTCATCATCCATTCCTCGAGTGATGAACGTTTTGGTTATTTCCATCTTCTGTTAGTACACCTGTGTACCAGTGCAGTGACTGATAACCTATAGACAAGGCTTTGGATGGATGCCAGCAACAAACACTGCAGGAGAAATGCCAAAGGGCAGGAGCAGAGGGCTCTCTTCTAGTGAGAATGACATTGTCCTCCCTAGAGGCACCCCTGCGGGCCAGGGAGGGGGTGCCCCACCCTATGACCAGTTTTCAGTCTTTTTATCTTTAGCAGGGTGACCGGTGGAAGGTAGTAGCTTACCTTTGTACCTCATTGAGTTCCTTCTTATATAGATTTAAAGACTGTGTATGCTCTCCTTCCTCTGAACTTCACTGTACCCCCCCACCTCATTTTATGTCAGGGTCTCAAGTAATCCAGGCTGACCTTGAACTTGATATGTAGGCTAGGCTAGCCTCCAACCAACTCTTAGTCCTTCCTCAGCCTCCTGAGTTCTGGAATTACAGGTGTGCACTGTCTAGCCTACATAGCTAATTTTCTATTTCCAAGCGCTCTTTAACCTTTGGGAAGTGAGTGGGGTTGGTTGGAGATAGCCCCTAGGCTGTCAGGTTCTTCTCACGTGGCTTATGATGGTTTCCTACTATGCAGAGTAGCTTGTTTTATTTTATTTTAATTTTATTTTTTGTATATAAGTGTGTTGCCTGCATGCATATAAGTGCACCTGTGTATGCAGTGCCCACAGATGTCAGAGGAGGCCATCAGATTTCCCTGGAACTGGAGTTACAGACTGTCGTTGGCTGCCATATGGGTGCTGGGAATCAAAACCGGTCCTCTGCAAAAGCAGCCAGTGCTTTTAACTGCTGAGCCATCTCTCCAGCCCCAAGTAGCTTAATTTTTATGAACTATCACTTGACATGTGGTGTTAGGGACACATTCTGGAAAAAAATGTTGTGGGGAGGTAGTGGCTAGGGATATGGCTCAGTTGGTAGAGTTCCTGTCTAGCATACACAAAGTTCTGGGTTCAGTACTCAGCACTGCATGAACTGGATGTGGTCACACATGCCTGTAATTGGGAGGTGGAGGCAGAAATATATGAAGGTCAAGGTCATTTCCAGCTGCATACTGAATTTGAAGCCAGCCTGGGCTACATGAGGCAGCACTATCTCAAAAAAAAAAAAAAAATAAGAGACAATACTTTTATGACATCTGTCTAGAACATAGGGGTCTTTTATTTGCACAGGTCTTTTTTGTTTTGTTTTGCCTTTTTGAGACAGGGTCTCCCTGTAGACCCAGCTGGCCTGGAACTCGCAATGTAGACCAAGCTGGCCTAGAACTCACAAAAAAGATCCGCCTGCCTCTACCTCCCAAGTGCTGGGGTTAAAGGTGTGCACCACCATGCCTGGCATTGTACAGGTCTTTTTTAAAAAAAAAATTAATTATTATTTTTTATGTGTCTGAGTGTTATGCCTGCGTGTATGTAAGTTAACCCATGTTGTGCAATGCCCAAGGAGGTTAGAAGATGGTGTTGGATCCCCTGGAACTGGAGTTACAGACAGTTGTTAGCCACCATGTGGGTGCTGGGAATTGAACCTGGGTCCTCTGTAGGAGCAGCCAGTATTCTTAACTGCTAAGCCATCTCTCTAGCCCTGTACAGGTCTTTTTTTAATCCCTCAGTAACACCTGAGACTTTTCATCATGATTTTCTGCCTAACTGAGTTCTTTCCTTTTGTGAGAAAGTTATTTAACCCTTACTGAGTCCTTCTGTTCCTCTCTCTCTTCTCCCTCTTGCTGTTGATCAGCCCATCAAATGATCTACTACTGACAGTTGCCTCTTCAGTGCTGCAGGAATATTCCAGTGCCTTTGCCCTTTGGATCTGTCACCTTTTCCCATCATCCTTAGATTCTAATCAGGCCAGGCAGGAGCTCCATGGGATTCTTCATTATCTAGTGCCAGGCTGTTTTAGTGAATGAATGAACAAATGTCCTTTCTCTGCCTTGGTAGTATGACAGGCCAGGATGTTGAGGCTATGTGATAGGAGTTGTCTCACCTTCTGGAACATTCTGCCTTTATTTTTTTTGAGACAGGATCTTCCTATAGTCCCAGCTGGCCTGGAACTCGCTATGTAGACCACGCTGGCTTCAATTTTACAGAGATCCACCTGCCTCTGCCCATGAGTGCTGGGATTAAAGGCGTATACCACCATGTCCACTTTTTAAAAAAAAAGATTTATTTTATTTTAAATTATGTGTACTTATTGTGTGTGGGTATGTACACACAGTGCCCATGGAAGCCAGAGGAGGGCATTGAACCCCTGGAACTGGAGTTACAGGTGGTTGTGAGCTGCCTGATGTGGGTGCTGGGAACCAAACTTGGGTCCTCTGCAAGAGCAAAGCACTCTTAACTGCTGGGCCATCTTTCTAGCTCCTTTCTTCAAGGACAGAGAGAGGAGATGGGGTGTAAAGAGTGACCAGCAATGGTGCCCTTTGATCCAGTATACATGTGCTCACTGAGCTGAGAGACCTGGCCCTTATCTGGGGACAGGTGGCTCAGAAGGATTAGGCCCTAGCCTGGGTCTTGAGGGCAGCAAAGATGGGATGTCTTACCCAGCAGCAGCCATGCCATTTGTCAGTCTCATAGCAGTAGCTGAGGCTGTGAGTGGGGGGTGGGGGTGCCCACCTTGGTAGTTGTGTAGAATGTGTTAGAGGAACCATGAGCTAGATTCTAAGACCACAGGGACCCACAAAGGGAAGAGGCAGCCATGTATTCAGATCTGGCAGTACTCAGCCTTGTCTGGCACATGGGCACAGGATGGAAGCTAAAGAATAGAGGCTAGCCAGGCGTGGTGGCGCACACCTGTAGTCCCAGCACTTGGGAGGCAGAGACAGGTGGATCTCTGTGAGTTCAAGGCCAGCCTGGTCTACATAGCGAGTTCCAGGACAGCTGGGGCTACAAGGAGACCCTGTCTCAAAAAGACAAAAAAAAAAAAAAAAAAAAAAAAAAAAAAAAGACTAGAGGTTAGTGGTGCATCCTTGTAATCCCAGTACTTAGGAAGCTGAGGCAGGAGGACTGCTACAAGTTTGAGTCTCGCCTGGGTTACATAGTGAGTTTAAGGCTCGTTCAGGGCCAGGGCCGAAGAGCCAGATAGTGAAACCCCATCTCAAAAAACCAAAACTACGATCAACAGAATAGAGATCGAATCTATGGCATGAAGGGGGTCTGGGGATTTCAGATGTCAACATTCAAGGTTTTCATCTTTGGGGATTATGGTTTCTGAGATTTTAAAATCTTAGATGTTTTGATCTTGGAAATTCAGCATTTGGAATTATGACATCCAGGCTTGTGACAGGACCAGCACAGAAGAGCTGTGGCTCTTGGTTTACTGTGCCTCCAGCCTGTAACCCTCTATTCCAGGTCTGAGCCTGGCCCTGGGTCTCTGCTGGCAGGAGCCATGGCCGAGAGCACAGATGAGGCACTATCTGTGGCTGAGTGGCTGAGGGCGCTGCACCTGGAGCAGTATACAGTGCTCTTTGAGCAGCACGGGCTGGTGTGGGCCACTGAGTGCCAAGGCCTCAGTGATGCCCGCCTAATGGACATGGGCATGCTCCTCCCTGGCCACCGCCGCCGCATCTTGGCTGGCCTGCACCGTGCCCACGCATCCCCAGCTCCTGTGCCTCGACCTGCCCCACGGCCTGTGCCCATGAAGCGACACATCTTCCGTTCATTGCCTGTGCCCGCCACTCCACCTGAGCCACAGCCAACAGCTAGAGAGGAAGAAGGGCCACCTGTTGCCCCACCCATCCCACCACGACGGAGCTGCCTCCCGCCTACTTGCTTTGGCACCTCATCTACGGCTGCCCCAGACCCTGTTCTGCCCCCACTGCCCGCCAAGCGACACTTGGTAGAACTGAGTGTCCCACATGTCCCACCAGTCCCACCTCGTACAGGTCCTCCCTACCCACTGGTAAGGTAAGTGACACCACCACTGATGGGTGGAGGATTCTAGAGAGTAGATGGGACCAGGACTGGACAATGACTAACCATTGTTGGGGGCAGGCTCAGAGATGAGGGAGCGGGCACAGAGCCAGGCCAGGGCGGAGTGAGATGCAGTATGGGCCTGAGGGTGGTCAGGCTCAAGGATGCCTGGATATGAGCAGAGAGGGCAGGGGAGCCACAATGGCCCCCAGGTTTCCTTCCCAAGTAGCTGGTTGGGCAGTGGTACCATCACTGAGGGTGGCTCAGTAATGATGGGGGACGTGGCTTGTGTGAGGTGCTATGGGAGATCAGGAGATGTTCTGTCACACCATTCTCCTCACACTGTACTTGACAAATGTCACCAAATCCCAGGACATCTCTGAGGTCTCTGCCTGCTTACCCCCCCCCCCGCCCCTTCAGAATTCCTTCCTCCTGTCCCTGGTTCCTGTCTTCCTTCCATGGACATTCCATGTATTCTTCCTCTCTTTCTGCTGTTTGCTTGGATGCCAGCCAGAGGGAGCACCTACAGACAGGGCAGCTGTTTGTTCAGGGGTAATGGGAATCCATTGACTTCTTGAAGAGATGTGCGGAGAGAGGTCTCTTGTCCTTGTCACTGCTAGATGGTATGGAGGGATTTTGTTGGTCCCTACAGCAGGTCTTCTGAGGAGGCAGGTTATGTTCTGGTTAAAGCTGGGAAACTGAGACTCAGGGCATGGAAAGGAGCACTGGCTGGGTCCATGCAGGTAGATACTGAGGGGGCTTCTGTGGAGAAGGTCTGAGATGATCTCCCTACCCAGAGAGGAGCATTGAGCCTTGCAGGTCAAGCAGTGCCTGAGGTCTTGAAATTCAACAGATGGAGCACAAAAAGGTGTCCCAGCCTAAACTGGCAATTCCTGGTGCTGCTGTGCCCTCTAGTGGCCATCCTCTTGCATGCATGAGTGGTATTTATTTGAGAGGGATGATGGAGTTGTGAGATTTGAGAGCTGGAGTTGACAGAGTACCCTGAGCTCACCACTTCAATCCCTTCTCTACTTCTCCCCAATTCATGTAACCTTTTGTAGATGTTCTGGGAAGGGAGAGGCCTTTAGAAGAGACTGGTAGGAAGAGTGCAGCTGGGATAGGATTCTAGGCTATAGACCAAGACGTAAGCAAGTCAGGAAAAAGCAAGAATGGGTCCTGCCCTCTGCTGCCTGGGCCTGATGCCCTACTTGGGGCCCTGTGTGATCCTCCTGACACTCATCTGTGTTCAGGGGACTTGTAAGGTAGAAGGAAAGTTCTGTCCATAGCCCTGGGCCTTAGGGAACAAAGCTTCACTCTCAGAGCCACATTTTGAGCATAGGTACTTGGTCAACATCTGGGGGAGCTAGGCCCCTAAGGTACAACATCTGGCCCATGTACAGGACTCCAATTCCACTTTGTGTAGAAATAATTTGTGGAAAATTACAGTAGTCCCTTAGTAGCCACAGGGGCATTGGTTCTAGGGTCTGATCATAACATGTTATAGTATTTTCAAGAACCTGTGTGTATCTCCCCATGTTTTTAATTTATTTCCTGTGGTGCAGGGATTAAACCCAGAGCCTTGCACATGCTAAGAGCACACTACCATTGATTACATCCCTAGCTCCCTCCCATCTGTAGGTTAAGTTACAGCACTGAATACAATGTAAGTTCTGTGCAAATCACTAATTCTTTAGGGAATTCTTTAGGGAATTCTTTAGGGAATTCTTTAGGGAATAATGAAAAGGAAGAAAATCTGCATGTATTCAATATAGATGTGGGTTTGTTTCAAATATTTTGGTCGGCAGTTTATTGAATCTATGGGTGTAGAGGCACAGGTGCCTTCTCTGATCCTCATGCTTTGGGACTGGGTGCCAGGACTAGTTTCTTGTGCCTTGGGATGTAGCACTAGGAGTTGTGGGCATCTGCAGTGCTCAACTCACGAGTATAAAAAGTCTTTAAAGCACAGAGGTTAAAAACAGAAGATGGAACTTCACAAGTTTGTCCTAGGATAAGACCAGGCCCTGTGCTGATTCGCTCTCTCTCCTTCCCACAATGTCCTGGCTCCTTGGTGTATGGTGGAAGATTGCTCTGCTCCCTTACAGCCAGCTCCTGACAAAACCTTCCTGCTCATGCTGCATTGTACCTCTCAGTCTTGAGGCCTTTCACATAAGATCATGAGGTAACTGAGAGAGACTTTCTGCCTGTCTCCAGGCCTGTCTCCATGTGTTATACTTCATCCACTGGACCCCAAAAAGACCACCGAGGACCCAACACACCAAAATGCAAAAGCAAGGGTTTATGGTTTATTCGGGCTTAAGCTCGGGCTCTCAGACCTCACCAATCCAGCGGATCCGTGCTGAGAGCCTGGAGTAAGGGAGAGTGTAGTCTTATAAGTTTTAGACAAAGGGAGGAGGGGGATTCTGAAGTTATATTTTTGGTTGGATTAAGAAGCCCGCGCGCGCCAACATAATTTTGAACTGATTGGACATATAGAGTCCAGATCTGGAGGTTTTCCATTGGTGGGTGCTGTTCTCAGGGTTGTGGAATGTGCTGACTGTCACCTGTGGGGTCAGGAGTCTCCTTATAGGGCAGTTTTGTGTCCGGGCTTGCCTAATCTATAGTTTCTTAGAGGGGAGGAGGAGGGAGCAGCAAGGGGGGGAGGGTCAGGGCATGTTTAAAGCAGTAAGCTATGAAGGCAATTAGTGGGGGCTCTGAGGAGGGTCTCAGGGTCCTACACATGCTCCCTCATGGAACTGAGGGCTTGTCATGAATGCATGTGTGAGGGCATGCCTGGGCCAGTTTGTGTGTTTGTACTTTTTTTTTTGAGACAGTCTCAATGTCTAACTCTGGCTGGCCTGGAACTTGCTATTCAGACCAGGCTGTCCTTGAACTCATGGAGATCCACCTGCCTCTGCCTTCTGAGCACTGGTATTAAAGGTGTGCACCACCACACTCGCTGTATGTGTACCCTTATGTACAGATGTCCATATGTACATTTGGCTAGCTGTCAGGGTGGCAGCATGTCTGTGTACTTGTGTATTTATGCAGGTTCTGGGGATGGCCGCACCTGACCTAATAGGTAAGGGGTACAGGGATCTACAATTTCAGGCAATAGGACCTCATTAGAGCTGAATATACAACATGTATGGGCCCATGGGTACTGCTGCTATGGGAACATTGGTAATAGTGTACAGATGCTGTTTGGGTGGTAAATTGGCATATGTATTATTTGTGTATTGTCAAGTGTGAGTCATTGTGCACATATGTGTGTGCGTATCCTGCCAAGAGTGTGAGCCCATTAGAATGTCAGCTCTCCTAGGGCCATAGGATCTTTGTCAGTTTTGTTTACTGTTGAGTCCCCAACTTCTGTCAAGGGGTGCCAATAGGCCCCTCTCTACTTGTGTGGTTGAGTGCTTCCAGGAGTGTTCACAATGCAGGTGGCAAACTTGGATGCACATAGGGGATGTGCAGCACCTAAGGAGGCCTCAGCCCACACTGTAGAGCTAAAGTTTCCTGAGCTCACCACCCCAAGTCCTTCTTCCCAATTCATGTCGTCCCAGATGTCTCGGGAAGGAGAGGCCTTCAGAGGAGGCAGGTGGGAAGCATGAAGCTAGGATAAGATCCAAGGCCACAGACCCAGGCATAAGCAAACCAGAAAACAAGCAAGAATGGGCTCCCTTCTTCCTGCCTGGCCCTGTTGAGGGCTCTCAGAGCCAGGCTCACATTTGGCCTGGGAGGACCCCACTTCACCTCCACTTCTGTGACATAACCCAGTTTTTAAGCCTGTGGCAGTGACCTTGCAGAGGAGTCCAGGACTTGTGGGGAAACTTGCCCCAAGTCACCCAACAGGAAAGGGAAAATCAGCATTCAGACCCTGCCTCCTGGCCTTGCCCCTGTCTACTCAGCTTAAGGTGACAGAGACAGAAAAACTCACAGAACTTGCTTCTCTGGGTTGCATAGATCGAGGGTCCCGGAGTCAGTCCATATAGCCCCTTCTAACTTGCTTCCTCCTCTGATACTTGAATGCCTAGAGATACTTGGAGAAAAGGAAGTATTTGCCTAGCGTGGGCAGCTACTGACCGGAGTCACGCTGCAAGGTCTTCCTCCTGAGCCCCAAGTGCTTTGCAGCCCAGCCAATCCCTGATCTTTCTGAAGGCTGATCACTGGTTGCTGGGGTAGAACCTGATCCCTTCAGAGAGTCTGTTTCCCAGCCTCTTTGAGCTTCCTCCAGCAGGTGGGAAGGGGGAGAGACCACCACAATGGGTAGCCAGAATCAAGGCTTCTTGGGCATCCACCCTGTAAAGCTTGGGGACCAGCAGCTCGGTGTCCCATTGTAGCTTAGACTGTGCTGGTACAGCCCGAGGGGCGGGGAGGAAGTGTCTGCCCCAGGGGATTCTGGGTGACTTTTCTCTTTTTCAGTGTTTTCAGGAAGTGTGTATGTTGGCTCCTGCAGGGGGTTGGGGGTAGGGGAGGTGGAGAGCAGGAAGCCAAGGAGACCAGAGCTGGACACACACACACACACACACACACACACACACACACACACAGACAGACAGACAGACACACACACACACACACACACACACACACACACACACATACATGCATACACCCTCCAGCAGATTCATGGTTATATTCAGAAACACACACCCAGAAGTGATTTACATATACTCCAAGACACCACTGGCAGGCGTGCAAAGACAAACCTGGGGTCGGGGGGCCCGGGCCGCCAAGGAAACAGAACTCGGACACACCTGGCAACAGGGGCTTGGCTACAAGACCGGGGCCAGCATACGATACCTGGGCACACTGAATCTGCCTGGCTGGAGTCACAGGTGTTCTTGGGCCCAGGAAGCAGCAGGCCTCTGAGGGTGAGCAAGGGGCAGTCCTAGCTGGGCTGTTGGGTAGGTGGGAGGCTGGGAGGGCAGGAATCCCTGCCTGCCCGTGTCTGGTTGTCACTTCTGGACTGGTTTTGCCGGGTATTTTGCTGCCCTTTTCTTTCCTCAAAATTTTTTGGCTTATGTTACTTTCTCTACTTCTTATGTTTTTTCTGTTGCCCTTTCCTTTTTTAACCTCTTCTCCTTCCTTTTCCCTGAGTTTTCTAGGCTCCTGTCTCCCCATTAGCCTCTTCTGGGTCCACCAGGAACCCCTAGTACCTGTTTTCTGGGCCTTTTTCAGACTCTGCCTCTCAGACTACTTTCCTGTAGGGTCTCTGTTTTGGGGGACCCTGGTGCCCAACCATTCCATTCTGGCATTTACTCCCAGTGCCCTGCACCCCTCAGGAGATTCCCTTGTGGAGGCTTATGTTGGCTTGTCTCACTATCAAGTTTACTGTGCTTCTAGACCCCTCACCCAGGGACCTGCAGAGGGCTGACACTTCACTGGTGTGGTTCCTCCCCTGCTGTGCCAGGCTGGTAATGCCTGGGTACACGTTGAGTATGTAGCTGGTCCCTGAAGTTACCAGGGATTCCTAACAAACCCATTGGAGACACAAAGTGGCCTCTACCTTGGACTGGGCACCAGAGGTGTGGGGGAGGGGTCATGGAACTGTCTCTGAACTCCCCAAGGACTGACTTTCCCTTCTCTTGCTGCCCTTAGGAACCAGTAGGGTTGAACCCAGGATGCACACAGAGCAGAATGGCAGATGGACCCCAGCAGCCTGCAGCCTACCACAGCAGGGCTGGCTTTGGGGAATCTCAGTATAGATAAGGCAGTAGAGTGCTATGTGTGTAGAGGCTGTGTGAACTGAGGGGGAACATTTGGGTGGGTTTCTTAGAGGGGGAAGTGTGTCTTGAGCACAATGGAGTTGATGATTTGGGGTCATTCAATGCAAAAGCCCCCCTCCAAAAGCCTGGCCTACTGGTAGTCCTTAATAAGGGGAGCCCCTTGCCCAAGAAGAAATGTGTGGGGCCGTAGGCTGTGTGCTGAACTCTAATTGGGGCTGAATGGAGCAGTGGGGGCTATGGCCTTTCTAGATCTGGATGCTGATGGGGTGGTGGTTATTAGCTGTTCAGTGCATACTGACTCTAGCCCTTCTGTTAGGTGATGAGTAGGCCTCCCTGAGAGGCAGACTACAGACCTCCACTCTGTAAGGGAAGCCTGGCAAGAGCTTTGTATACTGTAGCCTGGGGAGAAGAGAGCAGGACAGAGTCAGGGGCATGCCGTAGTAGCCCCATGGCGAGGAAGAAGGGCAGAACAGCCTGGGGGAAGCAAGGAGTGCAGGACTGAGGCCCAGCTGCTGAGGAGGAAGTGGGCAGCTGGGAAAGTTGACATCAGGGAAGAAGGCCAATATCTCCAGCTCACTGGGCCTGGCCTCCCCTTGCAGCTGAGCTGGTGAGGGTGCTGTGATTGGGCTGGGTCCTTCTAAGGCCCATCTAACACTGACTCCAGGGTGGCTTGTTGGCTGGGCCCTTTGTCCTCTGAGGTCATCTCAGTGAACCAAACATTGAAGGTATATGCAGAGTTATCAGAAGTGTGGAGGGTAGGGGAGCTCCAAGAAGGGGCCAAAGAAGCCTGAGACCTGAGGGGAGGCCCACAGTAGAGGGGGAGGATGTGAGATATATGCCTTTTAAAGGAAGAATAGGAGTTTAGCTAGACAGGAACAAGTGTTTGAAATGAAAGGAACAGTATATGTATAGGCTTGTAAGCATTTGTTTATAGACTGCAGCTTGAAGCTGGAAAAATGGCTCAGTGGCCAAGAGCACATACTGCTCTTGCAGAGGATCCAATTTTGGTTCCCAATACCCATATCAGGTGGCTGACAACTGCCTTTAAGTCCAGTTCCAGGGGAATCTGGCCTATGCAAGCACCTGTACTCATATGCACATACCCACCCCCACATACACACACATAGACATAATTTTTTGTTTCTGTTTTTTGAGATGGAGTCTTAGTATAAGACCCTGGCTGGCCTGGAACTTGCTATATAGATCAGGCCTCAAACTCACAGAGATAGCCTGCCTATGTCTCCCTAGTGCTGTAATTAATGGTATGCACCACCATGCCTAGTGGGAACACAGACATAATTTAAAAATAAATAAATAAATAAATAAATAAATCTTTATAGACTGCAGCTTAGTCAAGGAAGGCTGGAAAGTGAGTGAGGTTAGCTCAAGACTAGCTTGACATTCAGACTGCCCTTTTCTGCCCTCAAAGTGAGCCCTGGTTCCTCTGGCCAGAGGTGGGTCTAGATAGAAGTATTGCAAGGTGAGCCCAGGGTATTTGGAGAAAGAGGAGGCTGTGAAGCAGCTTCCTGGCCTATCCTTAGAGGCTGAGCCTCCTTTGGCCATAGCCTGGGTGAGAAACTGCTGGTGGCACGTGGGAGTTGTTTGGGTAAGCCTGCAGGCAAGTTAGAGGGGAAACTGAAGCTCAGAGGTAAAGTGATTGACTTGGTGCTAATTGAGCTGGGACTCAAACGTAGGTCTGCCTGCCTCCAAAATGGAGCAGACATACATATCCTTGTGCCTGGGATAGGCCCTCTTTGTACCTGTTGCCCTGATGGTTATTAGCAGAACTTCTTTTATGTCTCTGGTTTACATGATTAGTGACAGGGTCACTCTAATCTTACCCATTCAGACTTGGGGCCCTCTTATGTCCCCCAACCCTGAGTATAAGACCCCCTCTGTATTTTCTCTAGAATAAAGTCAGACTTCTTGGACTGTGGGCCCAGGCTGGGGTGGATCACCCCCTCTCCTGTGTGCTCAGTCCTGCTCTTGATGGTGTAGTGAGTAGAACAAATGTTGCATGTGCCTCTTGACTGAAGGGCAGAAGAGCAGGAGAGGAGACAGCAGCTCTGCCCTGCTGGGCATCCTGAGACTGAGGCCCATGAAGCTGCATTTTGAGGTGCAAAGGGTGCTTCCTTAGGACTAGAGATGACTGAAGAGGAAGAGGCAGGGTGAGCAGAGGCTCGGAAGGGCCATTCGTGCTCAGGACTGGGGGGAGCCTAGGGGCAGTACTGGACCAAGCTGGGCCTGTTCTTGGGGAGCAGACACCCAGGGGCTGTGCCAGGGACACTCCCCAGGCCCTGTTCTCGGTAGGGGACATTGCCCTCTCCCCTGGGGATTTCCCACAGGCTGTGCCTTCCTGATCCTACTTCTCCTTTCCTGACCCTGGCCCTGACTCAGCAGGGCTAAATGCTCTATGCTAGGCAGACAGGCTGTCATCGAGGAGGCTTCTTGGAGGAGATGGCTAGAGTGGGGTTGCAAGGGTTGTCTCCCCTCCTGGGAGAATCAGGATAGTGATGAGGGTAGACTAAGTGCCAGTTGTGGACTACTTGTGCTGCCTGGACCCTGAGGATGAGGAGTGGGTGGTGCCATATTGCCACTCTCTGCCACTCAGATGTAGACCTGGGAGAACTTTGGGAGCCAGGCCCACTTAGGTTTGCTTGGCATTGGAGAATGGGAGCTCCCTCCTCCCCACAGTTCAGGTCCTGCCCTCAGCTGACCCCTGGGCATGGCCTCCATGGCTGCTGCTTCCTGACCTCTGGGAGGCAGCTGTGACCTGCATTGATTTGCTTGTCCAGAATTGTCCAGAAGTCCAAGGACATTGCATTGGCCCCCCGGGGCCAGTCCTCCCAGGCAGGCTGTTGGGAAGGTGAGCACTCACTCAGGTATTTGGTCATCGTGTACTCATTCATCTGCTTCCCTTGCAGCCAAAAGGCCAGCTTGTGTGCCTACCCACAGACCAGTCCACCTATTCACCACCTGCCAGTCCAACATGCTTTTGCTGCCCTCTCAGCCAGGACCTGCACTAGGCTGGGGGGATGTCAAGTCAGACAGTTCACCTGCCATGAAGGGACTCAGGATCAAGTGGAGGAGACACCCTGGTGCAGTGCCCACCAGGGGACATTTATGCTCTCCAGACTGCCTCCTCTTGACATCAGTTCCCAGAGAGGCAGACAGGATAGGGAGAGCAGCTTGCCACCAGGGCAGCAGCAGGGGTCATTGCAGCCATCCCGCCACCATCCACATAGCTGTCTAACAGGTGTTCTCTGAGGTCCTGCAGTGATAGCTCAAAGGTTAGGGACTGAGGATTAGAATGGGCAGGTGACTCACAGGGAACCAACCTGGCTTAGAAACTCTTGCCCAAAGGCACCAGTACACCTTCTTGCAGCCCTGCATGCGTGGGATGTGCCCAGTTGCAGATCATGACACCTGAGAGCTTGTGTACCAGAGGTAGAGTCTGTTAACAGTTTTTCCTGGTCCTGCTGCTGTTTCCATGCAGGCCACCATTGACAAGGCAGTGCTGTGCAGTAACTCGGTAGCTGTACTCAGGTCAGATTCCACAGCCACATTCCCTCCCTGTCCACATGACTATAGTATGAAGGGTATGGAAACAGGCACATTCTATGAGGCACACGGTGGTTGGAACTGGGTTTCTGAACCCAGCTTAGATGCTAGCCGTCTGTGTAGTAGAGGGACAAAATTTGAAGAATGTCATTTGGAATCACTTGCATAAAGAGTGAGGAACAGGAGTGTCTAGGGGAGCAGAAGGAGGTTCTAGGGAGGCTCAGTGAAGAGGGGGATGTGGGCTAGAGGCAGAGATGCTCCCAAGACAGGGAGTAGGGAGAAGGGGAACTAGTAGACTCGTGTGTGACCCAGTTACATCCTCCCAGATCTGTTTGCTTTCATGGCAGTCATATGCCGCCACTCACTGCTAGAAACACTGGGAATAGACTAGACCAAGAGTAACCAGGGTGTAGGGGGAAGCTGGCCACTGATGCTCCTCCTTGGCCCCTGCCAGATGTTGACAGAGATGACTGATGGGGCCAGGCCTCCAATGCTCGACATCTATTTTTACTGCTGGGCACTGAGGATCCTGTGTGTTGGCATGTGGCCCACTCTGTCTTAGTTACTCCTCCCTCCCTCTGCCAGTGGAAACAGCCTCTACTTTACAGAAGAGGAAACCCAGGCTCAGAGAAGCGAGATGCTTGCCCCAGGACACACAGGAATAAAGATACTAAGGTGGGGTTCAGACCTGTGTCTTGAATGACAAATCCCTTCAGGGAGCGTTCAGTGTTAGGACAGCAGGAATATGGTGACAAGAAAGCACAGGGAACCTGAAGCTGGTCCTGGATTGGTGACAGCAGAGATGTCAGTGGTGGGGTGAGGTGAGCTTTAAGGGCCTGAGATTACCAGAAGGTAGTGAATATCCAAGTGTGGACAAGAAAGGAGAGGGGCTTGGCCCAGATACTCACAGTCCAGGCCCTAGGAGTTGGTTTCTAAGACCGGTCTGTGTCTTCAGCCTTGGTTTGACACCTGTTTCAATCCTATCATGTCTTTCTGCCAGCACATGTCCTTCACCCTTTGCAGCACAGGTCAGGACTTACCTCCCCCTTAGAAGCTTCTCCTGGCCTGTTCTGGTCTTCTCTCTCCTTCAGTGTGGAGGCCTCATGGCCCCATGGCTAAGAGCTAGAGCACTGGGGCCAGGTGTCCAGTGCATTTGAGTTGAAGACGCGCAGCTTCCTGTGGACTGTGGGGCACCAGGGGGTTTTGGTAGGAGGGTGGTTGAGGGCTGTGGGAGCCAAGTAGGAGTATGGGTATAGGAAAGGGTTTGCTGCAGCCTGGGTGAGCAAGGACACAGTGGGTTGGAACCCTGGCTGTTGCTTAGTGACACCCGACTTTGGTTCTGTTTGCAGCCTTCCCTTCAAGGAAGAGTTATTACTGCCACCATTGTCACCCCGTCCCCAGCCAGATCCTGCAGAGAACCTGTGCACTCTCCTGCCTGCCCTGGCCCGGGGGCCTCTACAGCCCCTGTCTTCACCTCCCTATCTCCCTGAAGTCCCTCCCAAGCCTCTCCGCCTCCTCCCTGAATTTGGTGAGTAGGGATGGGCTCTGGGTGGTCTTCCAGGATCAGAGCATGCAGTAGTAACACCCCTTCCCTGTCTATCGGCCAGCAGTGCCCTGTGTGGCCTGAGCAAGTCCTGGGCCTCCCTGAGCCCCATGCTCTTCCTTCCCTTCCTGCCTCCTGCTTGCCTGGCATACACAAGGTTGTGAGGTTCCGAGTCTGGGAATGCTGGCCTGAGGTGCTCCCGACTTTGGTTCTTGTCTTAATTCTTGTAGCCTTGTTGGCTTTGCTTGGACAGTCTCCACCCCGACCCCCAAGCTTGCTGCATGGTCAGCCTCCTTGTGGTGGCCCTGCCTCTCCTTCAGTATAAATAGCATTTCCTGTCTCCTGCGCCTTTATTTTGAAAGCCAGGCCTGGGTGGGTGTGGGAGTCTTCCTGGTCTGGGAGTGGCCTTTGTGAAGCCAAACCCTAGTGCCAGTAGAGGTAGCCAATGTGACCAATTAAGTTCCTGGCTTCTGAGTCCCTCATGCCTCTTTCTCACCAGACGACTCTGACTATGATGATGTCCCAGAGGAGGGGCTGGGGGTCCCAGCCAACGTGATGACCAAGGTAGGCAGTACAGTGTTTGGGGTTGGGCTGGCTGACTGTGGCATGGAGGGAGGGCTGCTCAGTGGCCTTGGAGACCCCTGGGACCTCCTCCCCCAGCAGAGTGGGCGCCCCTCCTTCTCTGTATTGCTGTTCATGGGTCAGGGTCAAGTTCGGCTCCAGAACCTCATTCCACTGTCTGCAGCTCTGGTACATGACTGTTCCAGGCTTGGGTTTCATCTGGCTGAGTGTATGCAGCCTCTGCACTGTTTCTGTCTTGGAATGGCTGGCCCTCTGTCCCCTTCACTTTCTGTGCCCTCATGTCATCTTCTCTCTTGAATATATACCATATCTCTATCCCTGAGTCTTTATCCTCTGTCTTTCTGTATTGTCCCCTGTCGTAGAGGCATGACTGTCACCAGTTTTCCTGTCCCGGTCACCCTGGTCCCTGTGTGGTCTCAGCTGGTAGGGGAGGGGTATAGAAACAGAAGTAAAAGTGCTGAGTTGTGGGTTGAGGATGACGTGGGCAGGTGGGCGTGGAAGCTGGGGTGTAATCTGGGACTTCAATGGAAGCATGATGCTGAGTGGGCCTGGGGGTGCCAGGAGGAGCCCCCACCAAGCCGGGTCCCACGGGCTGTACGTGTGGCCAGTCTGCTCAGCGAGGGGGAGGAGCTGTCTGGGGACGACGCTGAGGATGAGGATGATCATGACCATGCCTACGAGAGTGTCCCCAAGTGAGTGTCCTCACTACCTAGCCACCTTCTGTCTCAAAGCCCAGCCCTGCTTGACCTGAGGGAGCCCCCAGCCTGGCTGCCCTCCTTCCCTCCTCTTGTCCTAGTGGCGGGTGGCCCACCAGTGGTCTGAGCCCCTCCTTGTGCAGCCTCGTTCCCGATCTCCTACCATATCCAATGGATGAGCTGTCTGGGGGCTCCACCCCCCTCACACCGGTCGTCAAGGCTGGCTGGCTGGACAAGAACCCACCACAGGGGTGAGTTGAGTGAGGCCTGCTGTTTCATGCTAGTGTTTGCATGTGGTCAGGCTGTGCTGCAGGATGCACGTGTCATGAATCTGAAAATGAGAGGGCAGTCCAAGATCATTTGAGCATTTTCCCTCCTAACACACTGTAACCACTGAATTATCCCCCGGACTATGTCGCTCTTAAAATTGGCAAGGCCTATATTGAATCTGACTTCAGTCACTTTCTGTAGGTAGTCCATCTTCTTTACAGTGGCTGTTTGGAATCTTCCCCCTTTAAACCCGACTGTGCCAGGAAGGAGGGGGCTGTCTGTGTAATGGTGGGACCTCTCTCCTGATCCCCAGTCTTTTGCTGTCCCCTGCCTCTGCCTGTTCAGGTCTTATATCTATCAGAAGCGATGGGTGAGACTAGATGCTGATCACCTGAGATACTTTGATAGTAACAAGGTGAGTCCTCCATCAGTCCCTCATTTGATCCCTGCTTCTGCCTGGTCCTAGGCTGAATACCCAGCCTTGTTTCGGGCAGAGTCCTTAGGTAACCCTCAGCGGGGATGTAGTCTGACTCATCCAGCAGTGTCCTCCTGGCCTGTAGGCTGGCTGAGGGCAGTGATCAGGGCCAGCACAGGTGATCCTGGCTACCTGCAGGAGATGGACTCGCAGCTTTCACTTTAGGGGAGTCAGGGCAGGGAGCTGTGGGGCTCCCATTCTGAAACACAGCTCTTCTTTCCCCTAGGATGCCTACTCTAAGCGCTTTGTCCCTGTAGCCTGCATCTCCCGAGTAGCTGCCATTGGGGACCAGAAGTTTGAAGTGATCACAAACAACCGGACTTTTGCCTTCCGGGCAGAGAGTGATGGTGGGAATCGGGGATTGTGTGTGTGTGTGTGTGTGTGTGTGTGTGTGTGTACATTCTTATAATATAGAAGGGAGGAGACTAGAAGTTGGCCAGACTTAGGGGCAGAGGGAGAACAATGCATGTCTGCTCCCTGACACCTCATGACAGGGAAACATTGTCCTGTTGTAGGGTGAAGGAGGAGAAGGAAGGGCTTACTCTCTATGAGCAGCTCTGTTCCACATACTTCCCAACTCACAGAGCCATACTTCACCATGCACAGGGGACACAGGCTCCAACAAGTGCAGTGACTTACATAATATAAACCAGACAAGGTGGTACTGGGGCCCAAGTTGTTCAGGCTGGAGAAGTCTGGCAAAGAAAGTGACGGACCAGTCCAATGTGCTTCCTGGAAGAGGTGTTTTCTGAAGAGCCTAGGACCAGGAGGCCCCTCAGGGTCACTGCCAGACTGAGTTCATTTGTTACCTTTACCCTTCCCCCACAGTGGAGCGGAATGAGTGGATGCAGGCTCTACAGCAGGTAGTGGCTGAGCAGCGAGCTCGTGCCCGGCTCTCTAGTGCTTCTATGTTGGGAGTTCAAGGCACTGAGCAGCCTGACCGGGCTGGTAGCCTAGAGCTTCGAGGCTTCAAGAATAAGCTGTATGTGACTGTGGTTGGGGACAAAGTACAACTCTATAAGAATCTGGAGGTATGAAGGGCTCTATCAGGCCACTGAGTTCTCCTTGCCCATACCCATCACATCCTTCCTCCCTACTTCATACTCATCACAGTCCCCTTCCCTGCCCCATGCCTGCCCATGAGGTCTCTCCCTGGGCCTGTCTGGGACTTGAGTCTAGTACTTTCCCTTTTTGCCTTCCCTGTGCTGAGCCTGTTATGTCCCCTGCCCCCTCCTTCCTCTGGTTCTGCCCCATCTTCACCTAGTCCCTGAGCATTACCCTCCGATCCCATCCTCACCCCACCCCAGTTGCTCTATTTCACCCTATAGCTCCTGCTCAGATTCCTAAGTCCTCCCTCCTTCCTAGACTTTCTAGTCCCCAGGGACCACGTTTCCCTCCTCCCCTCCTGGGCCTCAAGCCCTGGTGCCCTTGCCTTCCTCCCTTCCCCTCTGCCCATCAGGAGTTCCATTTGGGCATCGGTATCACCTTCATCGACATGAGCGTGGGCAATGTGAAGGAAGTGGACCGGCGCAGCTTTGACCTTACCACCCCCTACCGCATCTTCAGGTGAGTTCCCTCCCTCCCTTTGGCCTACTGCCATCCTCCCAGTATTTTCTGTTTCTAGTCCTCCCAGGCCAACCCCATGGTACAAGTCTTCTGCCTGTGTTCACTGGTCTCTCGGAAGTCTCACTTTACCCGCCTCCTTCTAACCAGTTCTGTTCTCTGTGCCCACCACACTGTTCACAAGATGTCCCACCAGCACCCACTGCCCTCCTGCTCTGCTCTCCTGGAAAGTACTCTAGGGGCTGTGAATGCACCCTCATCACCAAGGCCACTCTTCACGTCTATCTTGGGCCTGTCCAGGGTGCTTCTTTCTTGGTCCCTGCTGTCTTCTATCTGTCTCCTCCCTGGGCAGCCTCACCCACTTCCAGGCCTTCAGCTACTACCTTGTAGACACTGCACTGGGCCTGGGTCCAGCCCTGGCTGGCTGTGTGACTAGGAGACTACTGTCCTCTGTGTCCTGGGACACCTAGGACTCTGTGGCTCTGGGAACTCTCTATAGGACCATCTCACCTTCAACCCAATCCTGTGGGCTTTCCAGCAGAGGCTGCTTGCACTCTAGGCTTGTGTGTCTGCTGTCTCCATGGGCATCTCCTCTATGGTCCCTCTCTGCCTTCCATTGTACTGTCTGGCCATGTCCGCTCTGTGTCCCTCACTCTCCTAGCTGAGGCCTGGCAGGCCCTTTTTGGATGCCAGTCTCCATCTATATAGTGATTGCAGGGCCGTGGCCTTTGACCTTGAGAGCTAAGTTGGTATTTGTCTATTTCTTACAATTAAAGCATTCTGTTACTTCTGGCCAGTGATTCTTTGCCCTAATCCTTCATGACTACCCAGCTGCAGCCAGCCACTCCCAGGTTTCCCTCTCTGTTGCTTAGTTACTGTCGACAACCTTAAAAATGCCGATATGATGTTTGGCAGAAAGGGCCTCTACTGCCTGGCCCTGTGGGACTTGCTACTGTGGAGAGTGAGTGATTGGTGCTTTCTGCCAACTGTCGTGGGGGGACGGCATCTTCAGCCCCTAGCCTGATGTGGTGCTTATAGCCCACTACACCTCCAACAGCAGTGCCTTCCTTGGCTGTGCTGATGGAGTGTGGGTGGTCTGAACTCTTGATAGTCCTGTGTGGCTTACAGTTGGTGGCAGCAACAGAGAAAGAGCCAGAGAGAGTTTTTATGGGGAGAGAGAAAATCCTAAGTTTATTGTCCAGCTAGGACTTCCCACTCTGGGGAGCAGGAGGTGGTGGCAGAGCTGCAGGTGTCTGTGTGTTGGGCCTATGGAGTTCTTTGTAGGGTGGGGTTACAGCTGGAGCTGGGAGAGGAAGGAGGTTGAGGGTGGGGATGGCACACACCTCCATACTCTTTCCTTCATCCCATATAAACTCTCAATAGGTGGTTCATTGTTATCAGGGTGCACTTCGGCCTCCTGCCTGTCTCAGGCCTACCCTTCTCTATTTCCTAGTGTCTTCTCTGCCAGTCTGCCTTCTTGCTCGAGGATCCTGGAATGTCTGTATGCCAACCCGCCCCCCCCGCCACCCCCATCTTGAACACCCTCCCTCCACTTCACCTGGTTCAGCTCTTCCCATCTGTGATCATTTTTCCTAACCTACCATATGTCTTCCTAGTTTCACAGTTCCTTTGTCCACACCTTCCCAACCAGCCCCAAGGTGCTCTCTTCTGACCAAGAGCTCCCAAATCCGTATCCTCCTTTATGCTGACCCCCAAGTCCCTCCATGCCCTTTCCCACCAGTTCCTTTGCTTGTATATCCCTAGCTTCTCGGCCGATACAGAGCTAGAGAAGGAGCAGTGGCTGGAGGCCATGCAGGGAGCCATTGCTGAGGCCCTGTCTTCCTTGGAGGTGGCCGAGCGCATCTGGGCTGCAGCCCCCAACAGGTTCTGTGCTGACTGTGGAGCTGCCCAGCCCGATTGGGCCTCCATCAACCTCTGTGTTGTCATCTGCAAGCGCTGTGCAGGTGTGTATGTGGGTGATGGGGCTGGCCGTTAGGGGGCAGGTGGCCTATAGGGCAGGGAGACTAGATCCACTATTCCTGACATTGCTCCAATGTGCCTGACTGATCCTCTAGGAGTGACCTTTGGTCCTCACATTGCAAGGCACAGATCTACTCTCTGCTTGTAGGTGAAGAGGAAAAGGGTTTCTTTGAGGAATAACTGGTAAGTAAGTAAGCCTGGATTAGGACGTTGAAATCTAGCATCCCTGTTACATCAGAAGCATGCAGGAGGCCGGGCCCACTAGGCTCTGCATGCCAAGAGAGGAGCTGGTATTAGTCCAGAGGAGCTGGTATTAGTCCAGAGGGGATGCAAGGCAGGGGACCCAAGGACATGGTCAACTCTGGGAACCAGACTCTGATTTATAGGCAGAAGCTGAGATTAGAGACTTGAGGGGGCTAATGCACCATCTACAAAGAAAGGGGGAGGAAGTGCTGAGCCTCCTAGGGTAGCTTGGGAGTCACATATAAAAGTCTCTATGAGCTGGACATGGTGGCGGCTACAGGGGACAGGGGTGTCCTCAGAGGTTAGAATTCAGGAGGAAGGACACACTTTAATCTCAGTATTCAGGAGGCAGAAGCAGGCTGATCTTTGTGAATATGAGGCCAACCTGGTGTATATAGTGAGTTTGAGACCAGTCAGGGCTACATAGTGAGACCCTGTCCCAAGCAAACAGTCTCTGAGGAGGGTGAGAATAGAAGAAGGAAGAACTCAAGATATATTCATCTGTTCACTCCACTCAGGTAGTAAGGGCCTAGCATGTGCCAGCTGTTCACTACATCCCAGGCATTGAGTTCTCCTGAGAGCTGACAGTGCCCAAGGGTTGGTTTCGCATAGCTAAGGGGGCAGGAGTGTCCTTAGAGGTTAGAATTCATCAGGAAGGACAGTTCTAGAGCAGTCACTGAGCTCAGGGAAATCTTCTAGGCCTGTGGGGCTTCCCGGCAAATGTCTAGGCCTGGGCCTGGGCCATGAGGTCTGAGTACTGGGAAGTGACAGCCTGGCTAATGACCAGAGGAAGGCATCAGCTCATGGAGGTGGGCTCAGGCTGACTGGAGTAGGTGTGCTTCTCTGTGGGAGGTTGTGCATGGATGCAGGGCCAGGAACTATATAGTGCTATGTAGTGCCAGGAACTCTTAATGTTCCCAGCTGCCCTCCCCTGTCCTCATGGCACCTGTCACTGAGCAAGCATCATTCGCTCTAGCGTCAGCCCTAGTCTCTCCTTTCATCCCACTAACATTTATTAGGTGCTTACTGTGTACCAGGCTTTGTTCTGGGCCCTGAGGACAGAAACCTAAAGCCAGGTACGTAGGATTCTTGCTCATAGGCAGTTGGCATCCTATTAGGAAAGACAGAAAATACAGGAACTAGTAGAAGTCAGTGAAATGGCAAGAGATGGAAAGAGAATGTGCTGTTTATTTGAGGCATTGTCTCTGAGGAGTTGACATGTCAGAGGGCATGGGGAGAAGGAGAAATGAGTTAAGACAGAAAGTTGAGATTGGGCCAGGTGTGGTGGCACATGCGTTTAAACTCAGCACTCAGAGGCAGAAGCAGGAGGATCTCTGAATTTGAGGCTAACCTAGTAAGAGCCTGTCTTAAAAACAAAACAAAACAAACAAAAAAGAAAACTAGGGTTGGCAGGGAAGCAGATAAGAAATGTATATCTATTGCTGGGGGGCAGTGGAGAGTTTTGCACATCAAAGCAGTCAGCTGGCAGAGCAAGTGGAAAGTCACCTGCAGGGCCCAGTGTGGCTGGAGGGAGCCTAGTAAGGCATGAACAGTGATGAGATTCTGGCTGTGCCAAAATAGAATTGCAGGCTAGCTCCAGACCTGCTGAGAGGCACTGGGAGAGGGTGAGTGCTCATGGGAAGGGTGGCTTCCAAGTGACAGTGTCTGGCTCTCATCTGCAGGGGAGCACCGTGGCCTGGGTGCTGGAGTCTCCAAGGTGCGGAGCCTGAAGATGGACAGGAAGGTGTGGACAGAAACATTGATCCAGGTGAGCGTGCATTGCTTGTCACCCGTTCTTGGGGTTTGCCCTCCCAGCTGTTGTCCCCTGTGTCACTCTGGAGTTAGGGGACCCCTGTAATAATCTAGTGGGTGGGGATTTTGGAAAAGCTGATTTTTAGCAAAGTCAGCAAACTGGCCAGTGTGCTAAGAATGTTTTTACGGTTTTAAAGGGTTGTAACAAAAAGATGTGACAGAGAATATATGTGTTCTGTAAAGGCTAAACTACTTACTATTTGACCTTTTAGAGAATTGCTGAGCCCTGATATAGTTCAGCTGTCGTCCTGTTGTATGGATATGGGAACTGGAGCCCTGGATTGGGCTGTAATGTGCCTGAGATTACCTAACCAATGCATATTGACCACCCAGCCTGCCCCTTTCTGCCCCACGTCTTGGCTAAGCTGGGGTCTTCTTCTCCGCCCTGCATACCCTCCAGAGCCTCTGAACTTTCACTACACCTGAATTCATATGCACAGTGTGTATGAGATGCATGATTTGGGGTCATGCACGTGCACATACGCTTACACTTGTGCACTTAAACTTCCATGGTGCCTGGTGGCGTTCAGTTGTTGTGGGGAACTTGAAGCAGGAGGCTGGATCCAGGGGACTTGCCACATTGGGAGTCCCAGAGAACATGTATTTCATATGTCCACACTGGACACATATGTCCACATATGAATGCTGAGAACTTGGCTTTTGTTCATGAATTGACTTTCAGAACAATCCTGAGTTAGAATACCCAGAATACAGATGGGGATATTGAGGCCCAGGAAGAGAAAATACCTTGCTGAAACCAGAGCAAGTCCATAGTGGTAGAGATTGTTTTTGCTTCATCCTCTGCTGTGACTCCATCACTTTAAAGAAGGGAATTGAGAACCTAGGAAATGTCTGTGTGGTAAATGTTGACCAGAAGAGAAGAATGAACTTGCTCCTTGATGCTGCCCCCCTGTGCCTCCTAGAAACTGCCACCCTCTTCTCACCTAGAGAGGAATGTCAGAAAGATATTTCCAAAAGTCCCTGCCTACCATGCCTCACTGGGATGTCAGGAATGCAGAGTTCCAGATGTGAAGCTGGGTGGGGCAACAGCAAGGCCCTCAGAGACTAGGCACCAGGCCTCAGGCATCTACCTAATCTGACTGAGAGGACCTGGACTCTGGGAGCCCAGGGCCGGAGTGGGGAATACCATAGCCATCAGCAGACCCAGCTGCTCCTGACCGTCCCCCTTGGGAAAATGGTGGGTGGCCTGACCATCTGAGTACCCTTCACTGCCAGCTGCCCCTCTGACCTCTTGCCCACATCCACAGCTCTTCTTACAGCTGGGCAATGGTGCTGGGAACCACTTCTGGGCAGCCAATGTGCCCCCCAGTGAGGCCCTGCAGCCCAACAGCAGCCCTGGTGCCCGGCGGCACCACTTGGAGGCCAAGTACAGGGAGGGCAAATACCGTCGCTACCACCCGCTCTTTGGCAACCAGGAGGAGCTGGACAAGGTCAGGGCACTGCACCTCTGGGATCCTTGAGCTTGCTGCCTTGTCCCTTCGCTGTCAGGGCCCTGATTTACAATGTGGGTTCCTTGGAGTGGTGGTCCCAGGGTATAGCTATCTTGAAGCCGCTTTGGGTTTGTTTCCTCACATTGAGCCCACCTCTCTTCTTCCTATGGTCCTGTTCCTCTATCTATCTCCTCCACTAACTCAGAGGTCTGTTAGCATATGGGGAGGCTGAGGCCCAGAGGGCAGCAGGGCAGGCCTGCCTAAGGAAAGCTAGGACAATGCAGGGAGGAGCCAGACCTGTTCCTTGGTCCAGTGCCATGTCTCCAGCATCTGGCTGCCTCCTCCTGACTCCTCTGTCTCCCTCCCCCTGTCCTATTCCTTCAGAATCCTGCCAAAAGGAGTGAACTTGACGGGGATGCTATTTCCTGTCAGGCTCATGAAAAACAGCTGGATTACTCTGACCCACCCTATCCACACCCCATTCAAGATGTATGGGCCCCAGGCCCTAGCAAATTGGGAGCCACGTCTTGGGCCCTGTTCTGGTTCTTCCTGAGTGGGAGACAGCTTTCTTAGAGGCAGGGCAATGGCATTTGTGACCTCTGAGTGGCCTTTCGAACTCTTCCTCCAAGCAGCCCTATCTAGGCAGGCTGAGTCTAGGTCCCAGAGACCAGTGGGAGCCAGGCCTCCACCTCCCTGGAACCCAGGCGTCCAGCCCCCAGCTCAGCCCAGCCCAGTCTGGCCTGCAAGCCAGAAGGGCGGTGGCTCCCATTGGTTGGGAGGGCTAGGCCGGCAGTGAGGAATTCAAATGTGGGAGGAATTAGCAGCAACCCCCTTAGCCCCGCCCTCTGCCCCCACTGCAAGGCAGAGGGAGCCTAGTTCCTTCAGGGGCTCCTTGCAGGCTGACCAGCAGCTGTGCCCGAGGACCCACAGAATGAGGCCTGCTGGGACTCTAAGCCTCCCCTAGGTAGCCTCTGCCTAATCTCCCTGGCTTGCCTTTCTCCTCTTCTTTTCTCACTCCCATGCCTTTCTTTCCTTCTGGCTTTCCTAAGCCACCATATCTTTCAATCTGAGGATGGGCCACCCAGATTGGGGTGACTCCTTCCTCTTGCACGCCCCTCCACCCCCGCCCCTGCTTGGTTGACCCTCCCCTCTCCTCCAGGCTCTGTGTGCTGCAGTCACCACCACTGACCTGGCTGAGACCCAGGCCCTCCTAGGCTGCGGGGCTGGGGTCAGCTGCTTCTCAGGGGACCCAGTTGTCCCAACGCCCCTGGCTCTCGCTGAGCAGGCTGGGCAGACGCTGCAGATGGAGTTCCTTCGGAACAACCAGAGTACGGGTGAGCAGCCAGCTGCACTGTCCTCTCCAGGAGCTAGAGTTCCCTGTTCACAGGGTCTGGCCTTTTGGAGGGGTTACAGGGTGGGGGCCAGCAGGAGCTGTGCATCAGCTGGAACCCCGAGTTTACAGGCCACTCCCAAGCTGCAGCTGCAGCTCCTTGGTGGCCCCTGAGCAGCAGTGTGGGACTTGGGGCATGTTTGAGTGTATGGATCAGTGTATGCTTGTGTTCCATGTGAGTGTCCCTTTGTGTCTGTGTCTCTGTGACTCTTTTTATCTTTGAGCTGTATGCTGACTTACTTTGTTTCCTTACATTGGGGATGTTGGGGCTCTGGGGTTTGTGTTTGTGTGTGGTTGGGTCTGTTGCATTGAAGGGTTTTCTTCCATGCAAGTGACCTACACAGCAGCTCTGTTGTCAGTTCTGTCTGGGTGGAACACCATCATAGACCTGGGTTGGGTTCTGTTTAGCTCCTATTCTCGTGGTGGGTGAAGAGGGGGTGGCTGGGGGAGAGCAGTGCTTTTTTGGCCCAGGCCTGGTCTCTGAGGCCACATCCTTGAACTGAAGGTGGAGTTCAGTGGCTGGGACTCTGGGATCTGAGCCACCAGTGGGCGGGGTGTGCTAGGCTGGAGGGAGCCCAGGTGTCCAGGGAGGTGCAAGAGACCACCCAGCTGGCTTGGACTTGGGAACAGGACCCCTCAGTGCTGACCACTAGAGCCAGACTGATTCGTTGGGCTTTGCGCTGTCTGGGACAAACCTCTCTCTAGGGACTGTTATTGAGTTGGCCCGAAGCCCCCCTCATTCTAGTGTGCCTGGCTCTGTGCCTCCAACAGGGATTGTGGGGTGGGTTGGGCGTCAGGAAGCCTTCCTGGGAGGAGAGGGACTGGAGCTGAGCCCCGAGTGTGGAGTGGCATTCTCACTGGTGGGCAGAGGTGGCTTTTTAAAACCCAGAAGGTGGGGCTGGAGAGATGGCTCAGTGGTTAAGAACATTGGTTGTTCTTGCAGAATACCCGGGTTTGAATCCCAGCACCCATATGGCAGCTAACAATTGTCCGTAACTCCAGTTCCCGGGGATCCGACAGCCTCTTCTGTCCTCCGAAGGCACTGAATGACACAGGTGCACTTACCTACATGCAGGCAATACATGCATACACATAAAATAAAAAGAATATATAAATTAATAATAAAAAAATAAAATAAAACCCCCCAGAAGGTAGTAGTAGGAGCCTGAGGTAGGGAGCTGAGGAGCACGAGTCTAAGTACCCTGTCTCAGAGGGCTTATAGAGTGGACACCTGGACAGCCACCTTAACCACCTTTCTTCCATTCCAAAGAGGTCCCTCGGCTGGACTCAGTGAAACCCCTGGAAAAGCACTACTCAGTTATCCTGCCAACTGTGAGCCACAGCGGCTTCTTGTACAAGACTGCTTCTGCTGGCAAGCCTCTTCAGGACCGCCGTGCCCGGGAAGGTGGGTGCTGTGCCACACCCTGACCCAGACCATGGTGTTCTAGCATAGCTGCAGCCATGTTGGTGGACCCATGAGGGTGCCAAGTGAACTCTGGAAGATCCACCTGGAAGGTCTCTTGGATATATGGCTTCTTATATACTATAGATGCTTTAGAAATGGGCTAGTGGGGTGGAGGTTGGGCATGGCACTACAGAAAAGGCACTGCTGAGGTTCACTGAACCTGAAGAAGCCTGTACAAAGCCCCTGTTATGTATGGTCCTGGCCCGGGCATCTGGTGAATGCCAGATGTGGATGGAAGGAAGTTTGAGGACTTGAACTTGAGCTCCATCACTTTCAGACCTCAGCTGCCTTCCATTCACTTCCTGACTGAAATACAACCTGCATTCCTCACACATCCCCCCAAGAGCTGCATTCAGCTGCCCACCCCCTGAAGACCTCCCCCAACCCCACTCTGTTCCAACTGTGGCTTCCTTGCTGTTTGTCACACTTGCCAGATTCACACCCACCGGGACCCTGTATTTGCATTTCCCTCTGCCCCAATGCTTTTCCCAGACTTCTGAATGGTCAGTCACCATAGTCAGGCCTTTCTTTAAATGTTACTTCTGCAGGGATGTCATGTCACCCCCAAGTCACTTTATAAAAACTGTGTCCTGTGTTCCCTTTAACCCTATTTTCATTTCATGCTTTTCTGATTTTCAGTCTTTTTGTTTTGATTTTTTTTTTTTTTTTTTTTTTTTTTGAGTCTCCCTGTAGCCCCATTTCCTGTTGTCCCTTTAACCCTATTTTCATTTTATGCTTTTTCGTTTTTCAGTTTTTTTTTTTTTATTTTTTTTTTTTTTTTTTTTTTGAGACAGGGGTCTCGTTGTAGTCCCAGCTAGCCTGGTACTCGCTTTGTAGGCCAGGCTGGCCTCAAACTCACAGAGATCCTCCTGCCTTTGCTTCTTGAGTGCTGGGATTAAAGGCATGTGCCACCATACCCAACCTGTCTGTTTTTTTTTAGACAGTGTGTCTCTTTGTGCTATGTGGCCTGATCTTGAGCGCTTGGCCTCAGGCTGTCTTCCCTTCTCAGCCTCCCATATAGCTGGGACCCTATGCTGTTTCACCACACCTGGCTCTGTTGTCTTTCATTGTGCGTATTTGTACACCACTGTAGCCCAAGCACTTGGGAAGTGCCAGCACCTAGTAGGCACCTGGCATGCATCTGCAGCATGAAAAGGACTGTGGCAGGGCGCTTCTGGAGAGTACACACTTGGGGACAGGCTTGGAGACACATTGCCCTCATCAGGCACACAGACAGACTGAAAGACAGCGTGCTAGGGAAGTGTGGAAGCCATTGCTTGTGCCTTCCCTCTGCAACCCCTGCATGAGGCACCCCAGGTGACACCCTCTGGCTTCCAGATGGTTCTTTGGAACTCTGTGCTGCTCCTGGTCCACCTCTCTCTGTCTGATAATGTCATTTATGTAACCCCCTGAGTCATCTTTTTCTCCCAGGGTGCCAGAAAGCTCTGAGCCACTGTGAGGCCAGTGTTTGTTCTTTCTGCTACGTTTCAAGTCCAGATTCCCAGTTCTGTTTGCCTTGGGAATCTAGTATATTTTCAGAACCATTACAGTGGAAGAGGCAGGGTTTAGAATAAGGGGTGCGTCTGGCAAAGGAGAGTGGGCCCCTAGAGCTTCCTGTGGCATTTGGGCTACAGATGGAAGGAGCAGGTAGGCAGAAGCTGTGAGTGGCCACAGGTGGATGGGAGGCAGACTCAGACTGAGAGGCATGGGCAGCCCTGAGGACAAAGGGTAGGGTAGGAGAAGTCTGAACAGAAGTAGGATCAAGACTGATTTTGACTCCATCACTCTTGTTCTCAGAGTCCAGGCCAGAGGCCTAACATTTTGGAAAGGTTACTGTAGAGGTCTGGGGGAGAAGTGTGGGCTAAGTACAGAGGGCAGCTGGGGGAATGGAGTGGGGAAAACCAAGTTAGAATGAAGAGGATGTGGGTGGGACAGGATCAGGGACCCAGGAAGAATGCACGAGTGGTATTCAGCTGATGTGGGGGCTCCTTCATGGTTCCTCTGCCCAACTTCTCTCCAGAGTTCAGCCGGCGCTGGTGTGTCCTTAGTGACGGGCTCCTGAGCTACTATGAGAATGAACGGGCAGTGACGCCCAATGGGGAGATTCGGGCCAGTGAGATTGTGTGTCTGGCAGTGCTTCCTCTCGACACCCATGGGTGAGTACTCCTTGCTATAACCATACATTGTTGGTGTTGTGAGGTCTAACCTTTGACGGGGGAGACAGGGAAATAGGTCCAGAGAGGGGCAGGACCTTCAGGTCCATACAATAAAGTGGGACTGCAAAGTATAGACCTTGTCTCATAAGGCTGTGGCCCAAGGCTGTTTATCTACCTTTTGGGGGTCAGGGGAAGGTTGCTGACAAGGGCAGGGGGTAGGTAAAAAGTGGTAGTTGATGGGAGGCAGGGCTGAACTAAGTGGGAGAATCCTGATTTATGTATTTTCAGCTTTGAGCATACCTTTGAAATATACACAGAGGGAGAACGCCTGTACCTGTTTGGACTGGAGAGTGCAGAGTTGGCTCATGAGTGGGTCAAGTGCATTGCCAAGGTGAGCCTAGATTAGCAGAGCAGGTGTCTGACAGAAGCAGGTTGGGACTTTTGGCTGATCCATGAACCCCAGCTATCCCATCTCTGATGGAGCAAAGAGCTGAATGGAAGATAGCAGACTCAGGACAGATCTTTCAGGCCAAGGATGACATAGATTGCAGCTCTGTGGTGCCTAATGGATGTTTGCGGTGTGGGGCCATCATAGAATAGACAGTGCTGCCTCCAGGGAGTGAGCTCCTTGCCCTTTTGGTGTGCAGTCAGAGACTAGAGGAAAAGGTGGGGCGTGGGGAGTGCTACAGACGAGAGCTCTGCTGTGGGGACTAGAGCTAGATGCCCTCAAGGGTCCTCCATGCCTTGAGAGCAAGAGCTTGTGACTCTTCATCTGTCACTTGCTCATTTGATGAGTTCTCAATGCCATCTAAGGATCAGTGTGCAGAGCCCTGGGACCCAGGTGTACCAGTCCTTGTTCTTTTGTAGTTCCCATGGAGGTAGGGGAGACAGACTGAGTCCAGGTGGTAGTAACATAATCAGTGCTGTAGCAGATGAACGAGTACTTGGGCACAGTGAAAACCCAGATAGTACATCCCAAGAGGAGGATGCATCCAAATGGGTGCAAAGCAGGACATGACACTGAAGTTCAGTAACTGCTAAGTTCTGCCCTGGGGAGGAGAAGAGGCAGCAGCTAGGTGGAAAGAGCCCTTGCCCACAGGCCAAGGAGCTGGGGGTGTCCCCAGCAGGCTGTGCTGTGGTCTGATGTAGTCTCTCTGGCTCTTTCTCTCATTAGGCATTTGTGCCTCCCCTGGCTGAGAACCTGCTAACTCGGGATTTTGAGCGCCTGGGACGTCTACCCTACAAAGCTGGCCTGAGCCTCCAGCAGGCCCAGGAAGGCTGGTTCACCTTGACTGGCTCTGAGCTCCATGCTGTCTTCCCAGAGGGGCCCTGGGAAGAACCAGTGCACCTCCGGAGACTCCAAGAGCTTTGTGCGTGGGACCTGGCCTGGTACCCCAATCTCTAGGGCACCCTATTCCAGTCCCCATATCCCTTGTCTGGAAATCTGAGTTCTATTCTGTCCTGACCAGATGACCCAGCCTGCCGTCTCATACCCTCTCCTGACCTTGGGGTACATCATAGCAACCCTCTAGATTGGTGGGTGGAACCTAAGGGTGTGAACCCAAAGGACCTCAGGAAGGAGCGGTTTGGGGTAATGACCAAGGCCTGGGCCTTACTGTGACTGGCTACTCCACAGCTATCCAAGGAGATGGCGAGAACCAGGTGCTGGTGCTGGTGGAACGGAGGAGGTAAGCCTCATCTTTCCTGAGGGACTTAGAGAAGCCTGTACTGTAACATGCCTGGGGAGAGGTGGGACATAGGGACAGAGATAGGACAGTTACTATCCTTGGTCCAGGACACTGTACATCCAGGGCGAGCGGCGGCTGGACTTCATGGGTTGGCTGGGAGCCATCCGGAAAGCATCAGCCAGCTTGGGGGACACACTGTCAGAGCAGCAGCTTGGGGACTCAGACATCCCAGTGATCGTGTACCGCTGTGTGGACTACATCACGCAATGCGGTGAGCCACACCTTCAAGGCTCAGGCCTTTCCCTTCTATGGTGCTACCGAGACCCCCAGGATCTCTCTGAAAGGAGCAATGTGATTCCCTCCCAAGGCCTGACTTCAGAGGGGATCTATCGCAAATGTGGACAGACCTCAAAGACCCAGCGGCTGTTAGAGAGCCTGCGGCAGGATGCCCGCTCTGTGCACCTTAAAGAGGGCGAGCAGCATGTGGATGATGTCTCCTCTGCACTCAAGCGCTTCCTGCGAGATCTACCTGATGGGCTCTTCACTCGTTCACAGCGCCTGGCCTGGCTGGAGGCTTCCGGTGGGTCCTGCTGCCCTGTACCCAGCCTTGCCTACCCTGCCTTGTCTACCCATCATGCTTTGGGCTAGGCGTGCCTCAAATCCCCTGCTTCCTCCACTTCTTGGATCCCTTGTCACTCTGTACAGAGATGGGTCCCTTGGAGGTGGAAGATGGAGAATTCCTTGTCCCTGTGAAGTGCTTGGGAATGCTGTCCTCAGCATGCAAGGCAGAGCTGCTGGGAGGGTAGGATGGGGCGGCAGTGACCAGTTTCTGACCCAACCTATCTCCGCCCACCCAGAGATTGAGGATGAGGAGGAAAAGATCTCCAGGTACCGAGAGCTCCTGGTGCATCTGCCCCCTGTCAACCGGGCCACTGTGAAGGCCCTTATCAGCCACCTGTACTGGTGAGGGGCCATACCGGTGTGAGGCTCTGGGGGGATGGGGTGGAGAAGATTCTTCTACTTCCAACCTGGCTGACAGCCTTCCCCTGGGAAGCAGGTAGGCTTGGGAACTAACCAGTGACTATGGTCTGCCTTCAGACATTGTATCTCAGCTTACTTCTTGTGGGGTAGGAGGGTGGAGGATTTGTTAAATTTGAGCCTGGGTACTAAGGCCAGATCCTCTAGCTTCCCAGCCCTGTACCTTGTCAGGACCCGACGTATGTCCCCTTTACTCCTTAGTTAGTGGTCCATACCAACCCGGGTCTTCCTTCACTCTACTCTTATGGCCAGTCTTGGGCCTATTGGGAATTGCTTGGAAGGTGGCTTGGGAAGTTCTGGGCCAGAATCCTCAGTCATAGCTTCTGTCCCCTCTCTAGTGTCCAGTGCTTCTCAGACACAAACCAGATGAACACACACAACTTGGCAATTGTGTTTGGTCCAACACTCTTCCAGACGGATGGGCAGGACTACAAGGCTGGCCGGGTGGTAGAAGACCTCATCAACCACTATGTGGTGGTGTTCAGTGTGCGTCCCAGACAGGGGGGTGGAGGTGTTATGGTGGGTGAGGAAACAAGGCTGAACCTCTCAGATGGCAGTGACAGTCTGGCCCTTCCTAGGTGGATGAGGAAGAGCTAAGGAAGCAACGGGAAGAAGTCACTGCCATTGTGAAGATGCGAGTGGCTGGCACTGCCAGTGGGACCCAGGTGGAGACTGGGACCTGGGTAGGGCATGGGCTGTCTGTCTGCACTGCTCCTCAGACTTCCAACTGATCCCCACTTCCTCTGCAGCATGCTGGTGACTTCATTTGCACAGTGTACTTGGAGGAGAAGAAGGTGGAGACTGAGCAGCATGTCAAGGTAGGGGCTGGGAACTAGAAGCCAGTGGGCTCACTGAGCCATCCTAGGCCAGGGCAGGCCTAGATGGCCACCCTGACATGTATCAGGACCCTTAGAGACAACCCCTTTGCATCTAAGGGCTCAGAAGACCCTTGGGTTTGAGACTTGAATCACAGGAAGGTTGTGGCTGAACAAGAGCTGGGGCCCTGTTAGCTGATCTTCTCCTGGTCTCTGCAGATCCCAGCGTCCATGACAGCAGAGGAGCTTACCCTGGAGATCCTGGACCGCCGCAATGTGGGCATCAGGGAGAAGGACTACTGGACTTGCTTTGAGGTCAACGAGAAGGAGGAAGCAGGTGGGGTACCATGGGGCAGCCTTTAGCCCAGTCTTCCCTCCTCCTGCTCCTGCAGTGTGGGGGCCAGGGTGGTGAAAGGGTTTTCCATAATACCTATTGCTGACACTCTGATGGAGATTGTGGTCTTTGTGCTGGTGTGACAGGCAGCCAGCAGGTTGAGGCAATAGCTGTAATAGGATTGATAGGGACAGGAAAGCAGGTAGATGGTGCTAGTCATGATGGTACTTTCCCACATGTCAGAATGATGTCTGTAGAAGTGACAATGCTGAATTCAGTAATGGAATTGTGAGGTGACACCATTCTTGGAGTAAAGAAGATGGTGGGTGGTGATCATATAAGCAGGTTGGCTGTGTGGTGGTATGGCGGGCCTGTGATAGTGAATGGGCTGTTGGAGATCTTTTGTGGTAAAGAAGGTGGTCTTGGGATGAGAGGTGAAAGGTGTTCCTGACATCCATGGACACTTTTGTATCACATTGTTGAGTGGCAGGCACTGGGCTGAGGAGTCAGACAGTGGTCCCTAACCTCACAGGGGTCAGTCTAGTAAGGGATGGAAATGCTAGTCCTATGATCACACCAATAAATAGATAACTATTACGGTGTTGGCTATCTGTTAAGGAAGGGCTCAGGGTATCACTAGAGCCCATGAGCCTATGACTTTGGAGTTGCTGAGCCTGCTATAGAGGAAGAGTAAGGTCTACTTGGTGAAGATGGGAAAAGTGCTCCCAGGAAGTGAGAACAGCTCCAGCACTAGGCTGACCCTCTAAGAGATGAGGAAGCACCGGGTGGGGTTGGAAGTGGAAGCAGTCACACGGGGCCATCAGAGGTTAGTGACAGGGCTTTGAGAAGATGCTGCTTGCTGCTACACGGGAAGAATGGCAGTCAAGGAAGTTGTAGCTTATGCTGGAGGCCATTTGAAAGTCCTGGTCTTAATCCAAGTAGAAACAAGACAGGGTGTTGTAGCGCAAAAACACACACCATATTTGACCTGTAAGCCTGGGAGAAGCCAGAGTATTTCAGGTCTCGGTAGTCTGGTCAGGGCAGACCTAGTTTTGGGCATAACCAGGTATATCAAACCAGAAGCTGGCTTATGGGAAGGGTGGTCACGATGATAGTGTGTCATGGCACTAATGGATAGTGGGGCATGTAGGTGACGTGTGCCCATGTGTTGGCCCTTGGCGTCAAGCCATATGGTTCTGGTGACAGTGGATATGGCCTTTCCCCAGAACGCCCCCTGCACTTTGCGGAGAAAGTACTGCCTATTGTGCATGGACTGGGCACAGACAGCTACCTGGTGGTGAAGAAGTACCAGTCCATGGAGGCCATGCTGTTATACCTGGGTAAGTGGTGTTTGTGGGGGATGTAGGCCAGGTGGATCCCTCCATCCTGAGCCAGGTAGAACCTGGTGGCCTTAGGGCTGAGCAGCTCAGGTAGAGGGAACTGGTGCTTCCATGGAGTCTGGAGCAGGAAAAAGGACACTGGGGTCTGTGGGTGAGGGGTGGTATAGCCCATGCCCACTCCAGTCCTCCCTTAGCCAGCCGTGTGGGTGACACCAAGCATGGCATGATGAAGTTCCGTGAGGACCGCAGCCTCCTGGGTTTGGGACTTCCCTCGGGTGGCTTCCACGATCGCTACTTCATTCTCAACGGTAGCTGCCTGCGACTCTACAAGGAGGTTCGAGTAAGTGGCCCTGGGGTAGGGGTGGAAGACTGCCTGTGATGGGCACTTGTGCCCCGGATGTGCTCAGGTACTCTTGTACAAGCATTGCCCTTAGACTGTAAGAGCTAGGTCCCCATCTGAGGGTCTTGGTGGCATAGTGCCTGAGAATAACTGTGTTCCCTCAGGGGCCTCCTGAGTATCCACTTCATGCCTCCAGTCTCATGAGGCCTTGGTACTTGGACGCTATTACAGCATACACATGCTCCATTTTCTGTGTGCCTGTGATTTGTCATGGCGCCCACAAGAACATACTACTTGATGACTGTCCTGAGCTGTGTGCAGGCCTGCCTTGCCTTGCTACTTCCCAGGTCATAGCCCTCCCAGCCCATTCTACCCACACGCCAGGTGTTCTAGACCAGACTCCTTGGCACCCCCATCTTTTGTGCATGCATGTCCTGTCCCCCACACACCACTGCACAGTCTGTCCTGGCTCTGAACTTGGGACAACGCTTTCCATAACCCTGATCCTCTATCAAACAGAACCAGAGGCCGTGGAGCGGGGCCCCTGAGACCGTGAGTAGCTATGGGCCAGCTGCCAGCTGCCTTGCCTTAACAACTGGGGCCAGGCGAGATGGGTGGAGTGTGGGGACACAGTCAGGGCTTCCAGTTCTCTCCAGGCATGGTTCCTTGTCTTCTGCCAGTGGTCACTGATCTCTACCCTGGGACCCAAGGCCTAACCTTCCCCCTCCATTCCCTAGGGTCATATCTCTAGGACCGGTCACTTGTTGATGTGGTGCTAGAATTTTCCATAGGACTTGGAAAAGGTTATGGAGCCAGTAGTAGAGACCCTAAGGTTTGAGTTGGGGCTCTGATTCACTTCCTCTATAATTCCTAGAGCTGTCCTCTTCCTAACCTTGGAGAGAATACTAGGGCTGTCTCCATGTCCTCGCCATCTTGATTGATGTGTCAAGCTGGGACAAGAGGCTGTGATACATTCCCCACTAAGGAATGCAGTGTCCTTCCTGCCTCCCCAGCTGGCAGACCCACCTTCTCTTTGCATACCCCTGGTAATAGGAGCCCATCCATTCCTCCCTTGGGGCTGCCCAACCCTAGCAGCTACTTCTGTCTGGAGGATGCCCTGGCTCAGGTTCAGCTGCGAATCTGCCTCCCACAGTATTCTTGTGGGTCCCAGCTCTGCCTCAGAGCCCATAGAGCATAGATGCTTGTACAGACAGGCAATAGGGCCATGATGCCAAGCTCAGTGTTCTGGCTTGAGTTCCAACACAGTCTTTAGCCCCTTCTTGCCCATTGCATCTCCCAAGGGCATCTGAACAAGTCCGACTGCCATGGAGGGAGCAGAGCAGATGAAGCAGGATCTTCATTTCCTGTTCTTTACACATCATAACTCTTAATGCTACCTGGACTCATAGTGAGCACCACCATTTTTTTTCTTCCCTGTATGATCTCTTCCTCACTTCTGAGCTTGTTCACCCCTCCTGTCAGTCTTCCATAGTTCTGGGATGTTACCTCCCCTAGCCCTGCCTCTTGGGCTGCTTCCTTAGTCTCTTGGAGCAGAGCAAGATCATCTGTGTGGGCAGAAGGAAGAGAGGGTAGCTGAGACACCTGGAAAGGCAGCTGCTGTCTTGGCGCTGAGAAGGAACAGGTCTGATAGTTATTGAGCCAGGCTTGGCACCTAGCCTTTCTGTTCCTGGGAGGAGGAAGTTGCCTTCTTCCAGGTTAAAAAAAAGCCAAGGGACTTGCCCAAGGCCACTTGCTCATAGCTGACTGGGACAGAGACCAGGGTGTTAGCATTTGAGCTCTGGCTTTGTGTCCTGGCAGTTTAGAGCTCCAGAGTGCAGCAGGGAGGCTGTTGAATATAAGCAGGCAGCACTGTTTTCACTCCTGTGACAGCAGTGTTTCCGGTCTAACAGAACCCCCAGCAGGTGTGACTCGGCCACTGCATTGTGTTTCTAACATCAGTTGGTTTATGGGGTGACAGAATAGAATATTTGAAATTAGGACAGTCCTATACAAGGCAGACTTTGTGTCCACTCAGGCTGCAACCCAGGGCCTCCTGTTGTTAAAAGACCCTGAGGCATCTGGGAAAGGCATATTTTAGAAAGATCATGGTGCCAGCAGAGGTCCATGAGCGTTGAGGTAAACTGTTTCTTGCCCGTGATCTTGGACCTCACAGGTACTAGAACCCTGAGCAACGGTTTGATTGGAAGTGAAGTCCCCAGGATTTATTCTCCGAAGGGTGTATGCCTGCTGATGCTGCCCTTTCTCTTGGTTCTCCCACCTTCTCACACTCCTGCTGCTCTGTGTTCACCACATATACCAGCTCTGAGGTGCACCCTGAAGCTTGCATTTCCAGATGCTCTGGAACTGTTGTTTACAGGACTGTACCTTCTGTCCTAACTGGTTTACTCCTCACTTAGGTTCTTTTTCCCTCCCACCCCCCTGGCTTCTTCCAGGCCCTTTTATCAGCCCCATTTTCCCCACATCCCTCCTGTGACAAAGGAGCCTGTGTGCTCCTGGTCTTCCTCCTGTCTTCTTCGCCTATTCCCTGCCTCTGTTTCCTGGTGTGCAGACTTTCTCAGTATCCCCGCCTTGCCTCTGCCTACTTGTGGGCAGGTGCTCCACCCTGTGTTCTGCTCACGCTCCGTTTCTCCCACATCCTCAGCTTCATTACCCATCCCACTGCTTGGCTCCCACACCTGCAACGGTGTGTTCCAGGTTGTTGGGACATATAGTGATTGTTGGGTTAGGTGCTCTCTTTAGAGGACTAGGGCTCCTCCACCAAGGTCCCTGGCCCATAATCCCTGTGGTGACATATGCTCCTCTAGTCTCGAGACAGTTCATCCTTTTGTGATGTCACAGAAATTCATCCAAGTCCTGAAAATTTGCAGCTCCCTTGGCCATTGCAGTCCTTTCTGCTCCTGCAAAGGAGCCATGCCTGGGGGGTGGCTGGGAGCAATGGTGGGGACCAAGGTGGAAATTACTCAGTCTTAGAGTTAGAGTTGCAGTTTTAAGTGCATTCCCTTCTGGTGTCCCCACTGGCTCCAGGGATGTCTGGTAAGGGGAGGGTTTCAAGCAGATGGTCCCAGAGCAGAGGAAAGTTCATTAGCTTGATTTCCAACCAGCCTTTTCCTTGGGGGTCATTGCTCCCATCCCTCTGCCTCCAAGCCAATCTGTTCCTAACAAGCCCAGACCCACATATGTAGAGGTAGGAGCCAAGTGACCCATGTCAGTGATCTGGTTCCCTGCCCTCATATATGGGTCTCTCGCTTCCTGTCTTAGGCCATTGGGAAGTTCTCCCTCTGGTCTATTGTACAGAACAGCTGTTAAGCTTCAGCTTGAGTCACTGGCCTTCTAATGGGGCCAAAGAGCTAGTGACTGCTGGTCTCAAAGCTTCTGTTCACACGGTCAACCCTGAAGCCTCCGTGGGCCAGGGAGCAACCAAAGCTCTCAGATGGCCCTGGCCTGTTCCCAAGTGTAGCAGAGGATGGCACCCAGATTTCTCCCTCCAATTGCCATCAGAGTCAGGCCAATGCTGGTGCCAAGTCTCCAGTTTGTAGGGCAGCAGGGGCTGGGAGTCACTGCCTTGGAACTCCTAGTTGGAATCTTGGGAACCGAGGGTTGACTGTCTGATGCTGCCTGCTGAGGGCGGGGACTAGGACTGGGCTATGAATAGGGAGGGCTTTGGTTGGACGCCTTCCTGGAGGAGGATGAGCTCTGTGCTAGGTGCAGAGAGGCTGGGGGTCGGGGAAGGGAGTGCATAGGCAGGAGATCTGCTCCCACCTATGCCTCCCTGAGTGATGGAAATGTCTCCCCCAGAGTCACCGGCCTGAGAAGGAGTGGCCTGTGAAGAGCCTCAAAGTCTACCTGGGTATAAAGAAGAAACTCCGGCCACCTACCTGGTAAGCCAGGACTGAGGTGACAGGCCTATGACTGGAACCTGTAGGGTCTCAGAACTGATGGAAAGGCACAGACTGGGCTTTGAGTTTGATAGGTTCTTTAGTTGGGGGCTCCTTGGCCAGCCATTGTGTGGACATGTCACAGAAGCAGTTTCTCAGGTGCCACCCTTGGACATCCTGAGTCATGGGTTTTGCAAGTGAGACCTGGCACTCGGTGTTGACTCAAGCTGCCTAAGGAACAGTGTTTGCTCATGTTTGAAAAGCACTGGCCTAGGTTAGAATTCCACCACCATTTTTCTGTGCCTCAGTTCCTGTACCTAGAGATCAAGGACACTAATAGTACCTCCCTTTCTGATAGTGTACGTTTGTGTGTGTGCGTGTGTGTGTGTGTTGTGTTAAATGTGTGTGTGGTTGCATGCATGTGGATATATGGATGTATACCCCTGTGTGTGATACCAGAGCAGGACATCAGGTGTCTCCTCTATTGCTTTTTGCCTTATTGCTTTGAGACAGGATCTCTCTCTGAAGCTCAGTGTTCTGGGTAGGCTGACCGGCCAGTAGGCCCTTGGGGATCCACCTGTTTCTGTCTGCCTGTCTCTGCCCTGAAATGCTGGGGTTGTAGGCATAACACAGCCATGCCTGGCTTTTTATGTGAGTGCTAGGGATTCAAATCCAGGTCCTCATGCTTGCAGAGCAAACTCTCTTTACCCACTGGCCATCTCCCCAGCCCTGGGTGTATGGTTTAGTAAGTTGAAAAGTGATACATACACTGTGACTGGTACTCACTGCAGTCACCTTGACTTGGTTTTCTAACTCTATCTGTTGGCTGTGCCTGGCTGATTCTGGGTCTTGGACAGGTCTGGGCAGGCATCTGTAGGGTGATGTTTTTGTTTTGTATTTTACTGTTGAGTATAGAACTCAGGGTTTCAAGTTTGCTAGTATGCTAGACACATGGTACATCCTCAGCCCAGGCCCAGGGTGGGGATGGGGAGAGGAAAAGATGGCCGTGGTATGCTGTACTAGGAGAAGGTACTAGCTCTGCCCAGGCTTCTGAGCTCTGTCTTGGGAGCTTTGGCAGGTGCCAGTTGACATTGTCCCGCTTCTCCTCTGCAGCTGGGGCTTCACGGTGGTGCATGAGACAGAGAAGCATGAAAAACAGCAGTGGTGAGCCAGGGCCTGTTCTGAGGCCTGTGCTGAGGGAGCTGGTGGCTGGGATTGGATCTCCCCTCTGCCCAGCTCTGTGCCCTGTGGGGAGATGGGCAGAGTACCCCATCAGCCAGGCCCTTGGAAGTATCCTGACCTGTGCCCTCTGTAGGTACCTCTGCTGTGACACACAGATGGAGCTCCGGGAATGGCTCGCCACTTTTCTCTCTGTACAGGTACAAGGCGTAGAGGGTGGCAGGGTCCCAAGAGGCTCTGCCATGCCGAAGGGGACATTTGCTTCTTTACTATTCAGGCCATCCACTGTTTTTGGATTTCAAGTTTCTCACTGATTCTCCCATGTCCTTGATAAGCTCTTCCTAGTGACCACTGTAGTCCAGTTCTGAGCCAAGCATGATTGTCAGAGAGCACACAGACCTTTGCCCTTGGGGATAGCCATGGGGATTGCAAGCAGACTCAGCAGTGGCCTGCTGTAGTCTAACATGGTCAGTGCTCTGGTGACAGAGGGAAGCCCCAGGGACCCTAGCGTGGGGCAAGAGGGACACAACATCAGAGAGATGGTGTCACAGGAGTGGGCATGGGGTACTTCAAGTCAAGAGAGAAATGGCTTCCAGGCAAAGGGAGCCACATGTGCAGAGACCTGGACAAAAGAGGGGCTTGCTGAGGGTGTGTGAGGGGAGAAGTCAGGAGTGCCAGAGGTCCATCCCTGCAGCAGATTCTAAGAACCTTGAGGGCCACACCCAAGGAATTGACCTTGATCTTGAGAGTTTGAAGCAAGTTAGATGGTGTATAGGATTGAACCTGAGAAGGGTCCCTTGACTCTTCTCAGCAACCATGTTCAGGGAGTAAGGTCTGGAGGGCAGCACCCACAGAGAGGAGGCTGCTGAAATGCACTAGTGACAACCTCAGGGCCAGAGCAGGGCCAGAGACTGGTTAGACTTGACACAGATGAGTGAGAACAGATGTAACAGAGAGTTCAGAACCGTTTAGGGAGAAGGGAGTCGGAACTGCCAAGGCTCTGGGCCAAGTTCTTTCCTGCAGTTACATTCTTTAAACCCTGAACTTCCTTGTAGTCAAAGACTAGATGGAAACAAGGTAGATTCCCTGGTTCTTGGTTGCTGGGAAGAGGGGGCACAGACGTGTTCCTCTGGGAGAAAGGTTTTCTTAGAGCTGTGTTCTTGGGGAGTTTTGTGGATCCATAGATGGGAGTCACTGAGCAATGTATTGGCTGGCTGTGCTGGGATGTGGTCATTTGTGAACAGCTGCTTCTCATATCACCCACAATCAAAGTGGAGGGTGTTGGTCCGGATCCTAGCTGGAGGCTTTTCTGGGAAGGGTGGGTGGATCTGGAGCTGAGCCTCACAAGCTGAGGTGTGGTGCAGACCCCAGTACTCCTCCCCCGCTCTACTCCTCAGCACGGTGGCCTGGTATGGCCCTCAGAGCCCTCACGAGTGTCCCGGGCAGTGCCTGAGGTTCGGATGGGCAGTGTGTCGCTGATCCCCCTGCGTGGCAGTGAAAATGAAATGCGCAGGAGTGTGGCGGCCTTTACTGCAGACCCTCTTTCTGTGAGTGGCTCCTGTCCCTGTGGGCAGGGCTGGGACCTGGCTGGATGCTTACCTTTATTCTACTACTCATTCTCTGAGGGCCTGCTTGTCCCTGCCTTAGGTTCCCGGAGCCCCTCTGCCTGGCCCTGGGTATCCCAGCTTCTCATGGCTTTTGCAAGCCATTCCATTGCTGGGGAATCCCCTGGACTATACAAAGTGCTTACAGGATCTGGGCTTCTGTGCTCTCTACAGCTCCTCCGTCATGTCTGAGCATTGGAGTCAGTCTAGATCTGGGACACCGCAACTGCTACCAGGAAGCCTTCCTGTCCAGACACCCTCGTGCTCTGCGTGCCTGGTGTGGCTCAACAGGATGCATGAGGAAGACATACCTATATTCCACATCCTGACTGCAGCACAGGCTCCCTGGCCCCTCCCTGCTCTTCAGGCATGCAACTCTGCTGGCCTGGCTTGCTTACCCAGGGTCACTCACCCTGAGTTTGCAGGATTGGAGGGATGGGCAGAAGCCAGGAGCCCTGTAGGAAAGGCTGGAGGCCTTGGGGCCCCGCTGGGAGGGAGCCCACGAGGGAGCCCACCCCCTTGCCATAGACTCTAGAGCAACGAAAAGCTGGTGCTCTGAAGGAGCTTTTAGTGAGACTGGGAAGGAGCTCATGGGAAGCTTCTGGGGCCTGAAAGCTGGACCTTAGAATGTCAGTCATCTTTTAGTCTGGGCTGGCTGAGAGGCCCAGACTGTCTGCTGCCCCTTTCCCACTTTGGGGACTTTTTTGATAATATAAATATCTGTATATTTTACCCTAAGGTGCTGAGGCCTGTGATTGGTGTCTTGGGCTGGGGGATACAGTTGCTTATGAAGCTCCAAGTGCCCTGAAGCCAGAAACCTGGGTTCTGCCCTCTCCAGACCCTGAACTCTTCATTTTCCTCTGGCCTGACAGAGCCCTGGCCTGACCCTGTACCTGTTGTGCCACTGTGTAGCCAGGCTAAGGGAATACTTGCTCTGCCTGGGACAGGGAAGACCCCAGCTGGGTTTGAGCCCCTATCCCTGCAGTCATCTGAACCAGGGCCTAGATGTGTATGTATGACAGAGCACAGCTCTGGAGACATAAGGCCATAGCTCACAGGAGCTTTGGTGGACTAAGAAGTAGGCCTTCAGGTCACCCTGGGCCCCATGCATATTCCTCCTGAGTGGAGCCTGCCTTGCATGGGGAACTGCCCTCCATGTGAACTGCTGACCTGCAAAGGAGGTAATGAGCTATTCAGAGACAGACTGGGCACTCCCTGGGAAGGTGCCAGACATTCTGCACTTCCTAGAACCTCATTACCATCCTAGCTCAGAGGCCCAGTGATTAAAACTGCTGCTCTTCTAGCCCCTGCCTCAAATGGGAGGCTGGGCAGAGCAGGACAAGGATGGGTTCCTGATCTCTGATGCCCATGGTCCCCACTCAGTGGGAACCTGGATGCTGTGGGGCTTTGCAGATCTGGACTCAGGTTATTTGCCTGGAAACTGTACTGATTGCTTAAGCCCTATTGGCCTGTTGCACAGGCTGGGCCCAAGTCCCTCGGGTCTCCCATCACTTTGTCCCAGCCTCACTGGACTGTTCCAGACCAGAATGCCAATGGAATGTCTGGCCATTCCTCCAGATTGGACAGGATTGGTGGACTCCCTTCCTCAAGGTCTCCTTGGAGTTCTTGGATCGGCACCTACTCCAGAGGCCCAGGGTTGGTGACACTAGAGGTGCCCTCTGCCGGACCAGCACTGCCACTACCCAAGCTTAGGGACTGTAGCTGGAGGGGCTACATTTGGCCACCAGGGGGCAACCATGGACCATTGCTAGTTGCTAACTTGGAATAGGTTCTGAGCCTGGTGGTCCTGACTCTGGGTTTACTCTGCTGCTGACAAGACCCCCCAGCCCTGCCTCTGGCCCCAGGAGGTGCTGTGCTGGAAGGTGTCATGTGAAGGAGTTCACTTTGGCCTCCTGGTTCCTAGGAGCTGGGGAGGTAGCATCCCTTTACCCAGTGCCTACTGTGAGTCAGCCTGTGCCCTCTATATCCACTCTGGGGACTTCCGGCCTAGAGAAGAATGGTGCTTGTCCCAAGCCACACAGCTGTCCTGGGTCAGGCCTGAGGTCTATTCCTATTGCCCCACATTGGAGGAGTCTCCTCAGCTTCCCTACTGATTCTAACACTGTTTTCTTCTCATGACTTGCCCGTGCTTCCTGAGAAGGGGACAGGAACCAGTGCCATCACTGACATTGAAGAGTGTTTTCCCTTGGGGTGAGGGTGCATCCCTGCAGGAACCTTCCGGACTCAACTTCCATGAGAAACACTGTGACAACAGTGTTGGAGGACTAGGGCAGGAGGTTCATAAAAATCACTGTCACTGGTCAGAGGGGACAGATACACTTGTTACTTTAGGTTGTTTGGAGCAAGAGGAGCCTAGAGTTAACTGAGGGGAGAGCTTAGAGGAGGAAAGACTAATTTCTGGAGGTAGGGGGTTGGGGTAGGATTGACTGCTGGGGAGGAGAACAGGGCTTTGAAGGCCAACCCAAGCCTAGGCCTGGGTACATTGCTGGTGGAGAGGATGATGGGAAAGACGTAGGAACGGCTCGGAGGTGGGACAGCTGGGAAGTCTGCCTCTTTCTCTTCTGCCTTCTTCATTTCAACCCTCCTGCTCCGTACTGTGTCCAGCAGTAAGGATTGAAGAGCCCTGGTTCCTGAGAGCTGTGGGCTCACAGGCAGTTGTGGGGTGAGGAGGGAAGAACGGGGGTCCTGCCTCCACTGCTCTTCCCCCTAACCCTAGGGATTGACAAGGGTCTATACCTGAGGCCTTCCCTGGCCCATGCTCTTGTGGCTACCTGCCACAGTTCTGTTTTGGGAGATATGGATGTGGAGGCAGGCATCCCATTTACAGGCCGTGTGGCTTTGGCCAGTTGCTTAGGTCTCTGATCTTGGTGGTCTCCTGTGTCTTTTGGAGATGGTAATAGGAGCTATCTGGTGGGTTCTCAGAAGGATTCAGTGATGAGGTAAGTGTGAGGTAATAGCATTGTTCCTTACTGTGTTTGGTTCTCATTCTATAAGCACTTGTTGAACACCTGCTGTGTGCAGAGTTTTGCTGAACACTTGGGGCAGATGAGGAAGTGGTGTGAGGGAGAAGGGAGCTCTGGAGAGCATGCTGATCAAGGAGAGTTCATGGAGAGAACAATTCCAGAAGACAAGAAGTGTGTTGGGGGTGAGGGGCTTGAGAAGTGAGAAGCCCCTTCACAAGGGAGTGGCCTGCAAAAGCATGTGACCTGCAGTGACTTGAGCCTAGGACCCATGTGTACCTCAGGGCCCCCCATCTCCAGGTACCCTGGGTCTCCCCTCTACAAATCTCCAGGTGCCTCAGGGGCCCCCCTCCACATCTCCAGTTATCTTAGGGGCTCCCTCTCCACATCCGCAGGACCCCCCCCAGGTCTCCCACATTTCCAGATGCCTTAGGCCCCCATCTCCAGGGTCTCCCCCTCCACATCTCCAGATACCTCAGGTCCCTCCACATCTTCAGATACCTCAAAAGCCCCCTTTGCATCTTCAGGTACACTCTTGTGTCTCCCACATTTCCACACTTCCCCAGGGGCTTCCTCTCTACATCTCCAGGTACCTCAGGGTCTCCACCAAATCTCCAGGCACCCCTGGGTCTCCCCCTCTACATCTTCAGGTACCTCAAGAGCCCCCCTCCCCCTCTCTTCAAGTACTTCAGGGCCCCCTCCACATTTCCAGGTACACCCATGGGTCTCCCACATCTCCAGGCATCCCCAGGGTCTTCCTCTCCACATCTCCAAGCACCCCAGGGTCTCCCCCTCCACATCTCCAGGCACCCCTTGGGCCTCTCCCTCCACATCTTCAGGCAGCCCACAGCTTCCCCTCCACACCTTGGTTGTCAGGTCTTTGCTCTACCTCTTGCCCAGGAGGCATGACCACATCCTGATCACATGGACCCCTTAAGATCTTCCCCCGCCAGAAAATGGCATCATTTCTGCCTCCTAGCCACTTAGTGACCTGAGTGACCCACACCCTGCTCTGGCACTGCATGACTGTTTCGGTCTGTCACAGCAAGCACAGTGGGTCTTACCTCCCTGTTCTTCCATCAGGAAGCTCCTTTAGATTGCTTGTCCTTCCCAATTACCCTTCCCAATTACCCTGTGCACTGAATGTATGGGGAGAATTTGCACTCTGTTAGCCAGCCAGAGGCTGGCCCTGGGAAGAGCTAGTTGTAAGGAGTGGTGCCTCTGGTCAGCCAGGGCTGGCCTAGCCGTTCTTCATTACTTTCAGCCTGTGGAAATTTCCGCACTTTCTCTGCCCTGGTTACAGCTCCTACTGCTGTATTTATCACCCTGGAGACACAGTGACACAGGCACACACATACCACACACACACACACACACACACACACGCTCTGCACACACGTGCCTGTACACCTCAGCCTGAAACTCCAGATCTCTCTCTCTCTCTCTCTCTCTCTCTCTCTCTCTCTCTCTCTCTCTTTCTCTTGTTTTCTCTCTATCCTTGAAAATGTCTTCCTTTTCTCTCTCTCTCTCTTTCAGCACGTGGAGGAACACCCCCCACACAAAGAGCTCTCTAGGAAAATTGTTCTCCCTCCTGCTGCTGTTCCTCCTCCTCTCATCCTCCCCCACCTCTCCCTCTGTTCTGTCCGCCCACCACCACCCACAGACCAAAGAACTGGGCTGGACGGTGCCTCCCATCTCTTGTCAGCTGGGAGGTGCTCCCCCCCAACTGTTGTGTGCCCTCCCTTCCCCCTCTGCCACTTCCCTGCCCTCTCTTTTCTGCATAAGTCAGAGTCCCCTCTTTGTCACTCTTTTGACGCTGAAGTGGAACCTGTCATTCCTCCTTGCTTGGTCTCCTGAGGCTCAAGTTGGCAACCTTAAGGACCGTTGGAGTCAGAGAGGTAGACCAGGAAGGGTGCCAGGGGGCCTGAATCTCCTCAGCTCCTGTCACCTTCCCCTCCTAGTGAGGGTGGGCTGTGTGCTTGGCACCATGGAGACTAGCGTCATGGTAACGAAGTCTGGGTGGGCATAGCCTTCCTCCTCTTCCGGGATTGGGGGGGACATAGAAGGAGCTGCCTTAGGCCTGGAGGTGGTGGGACTTGTGCTGGTACTGAGCGCTGGTCATCACATCCACCTCCAGCTTGTTTCAGTGCCACACCTCCTTGACCCACTCCACTTTACAGCCTCAAGGATCCTGTGTGTGGAGAAATCGCAAACACAAGCTCTGCATCTAAGGGCTTGCCCAAGGCCCCACAGCAAGTCTGGCTGGGCTCCTGACTCTTCTGATCTTCCACTTTCCACCCAGGTCAGCAGTCAGTCAGGGTGGAGGGGTCAGTTTAATGTGAGTTCAGGCCTCCTGTGAAATCTCCAGCCAGGCCTTTGCCTTGGCAATGATGAGAATACAAATGACAGTACTGGTAACCCTTGATAGAAGCCCATACCTGCTAAGCTATACTTTGCACATTATCTTACTTCACCCTTAGGAGACCTGTGGGTAGGCTAACCAGTAAGTGGCCTAGCAAGCACAGAAACACAGGCTTTTCCCAGATGGAATAGGTTTGGAGCAAGGTGCTCGGTCCAGCAGGTACTCTTCTTAAAGGGTCAACTGGCTTCTGTTGTGGCTTCCTTCCTGGAGAAAGTTCATGGGGAGGATTGCAGCTTCATCTGGGTCTGGCTTTAGGAGTTCTAGAAACCTGAAAGCTGCTTTTCAGGAGATGAGGGAGTAAAGCCTTTCTCATGTGGTTAGACCTAGGGAAGATGCTGTGGTCTCACCAAGCAGAGCATAGCTTTGGGTCCCGTAAGAGTTGTCTGCTACCCATGCTGGAGTCCAGCCACAGTGGGTAGGAGTCCCCTGTCTCCCAATCCAGCCTCAACTTGTCTCGACCTCAATGCACTCACTTTGCAGCTGCTTTCCCCCTGGCTTATGTAATCATTCAAATATAGCAGCTGCCTTTATCCCACTGAATCACACCCCATTCCTCCCTTCTCAGGTGCAGGGAGTTGGGGGGGCAGGGAGAGGTAAACCAGGGCTGAGTAGGAGGCTCAGAAACTCTGGGCAAGGGTGGAGGGTCCTGGTATGCTGGATCAGAGGACAGTGGAGAGAGTTAAGGTCCTAAAGAGCCATGGGGGCCTTGATCCATCTCTGGTAAAACCACATTCCTGGGGAGCCCTCCCTAGCTCTTAAGTTTTACCCACAGCCTTCTTTCATGAGCCTTGTTTCCACTGGAGAAGTGGAAGGTTATGGAGAATAGTAAGTAGTTTGGACCACACTGGCCAGGAGTCCTTGTCTCTACTGATGTCCTTTGTGACCTGGACATATTCCTAGCCTGAGTTTCCCCATCTTTATGGTAAGGTGCCAGATGTACTGACTTTGGACTCATGCTCACTGAGATGGTATCAGCCTCAGGTGTGTCTAGCCCAACTCCCTTCCAGACTGGCCTCATTTGCTTTTTATTTGTTCAGCCCAAATCTACCCAGTCTTCTGGGCCATATCCTTACAGCCCCAGCAATAGGGCTGGGCAGAAAGGAGGAGGCCACTGGATTCTGGGTTGAGGGACTCAGCCTTTGATGAGCTGCCTCCTCACTTGATATCTGCTCTATTGCCTCATCCCCAACAGTAATGGGAGATCACTACCCTCACCTAAGGTCGCCAGCTCCCCACAGGCAGCTGACTGCTGCTGTTGGAACCTGGAGCTGATCTCCAACTCTTCAGCTATGATGTCTGGACCCCCAAAGCTGCCTTTCTGAGATGCTGTAGAAACTGCTCTGCTCTAAAGCTATTCTGGAGACTCTGGTGGCCTTTCATTTCATTTCAAAGCAAAGACTTTGTCACTAGTGGTATGATGGGATCCCTGCTTAGTGTCAGAATGCAAAGAACCATGCCAGGTCTTTGTCAAGGGCATGTGCTCTGGCAGTCCTGGGCATCAGATTCATAAGAAGCTTCCTGGCTTCAAGGGGGAAATGTGCTGTGAGGTGGCTCCCTGAGCTGCCAGCTCATCCCTCCCTTACCCTCCTGGGCTCCTGCTGCTGAGACTCAAAGGTGGATTCACTCCTGGCCCCAGCCACAGGGAATCATCCAGAGTGGCCAGACCAGCCTACCGGGCCATGCCTAAAATCCCTGTCCTGCCACTGAGGTCATTACTACTTTGCAGCTTTAGCCTGCCCCAGAGGGTGGGGTACAGCCACCACCACCTGTGCCCCCCACCCCTAGCTCCTTATAAGACTCTCTCACTCCAGCATGATCCTGGACTGAGCTCTGCTTCTCATGGACACCATCTCTTCCAGGTTCAGCTCTCTTCTGACTCTCCCATCAGTGTTCCTCCCTTGAACCTTTGGGCTGCCCAAAGGCCGGGCTGGGGCTGAGCCAAATGGAGCTCAATCAAGGCCTACTCTAGAGGCATTCAGCAGATCAAATGAGATGACCCTAGGCAGGGGAAAGGAGGAGGTGGGACAAAGGGAAGGTCAGGATAGAGGCAGCTAAAGCCTGCTGTCCCTCAGCCCAGAAACCTGTGAGTGGTGGGTAGAGTGTGTGCTGCACTGCCCCAGGATTTGTGGAGGGCATGGAAAAGAAAGAGGGGAAGTCAGTCAAACAGGAAGCCGAACAGATTGCACAAAGAAAAAGCAGGAGAGGATTATCTGGAGCAGAGAGAAAATGGAGAAGTCAGTTAGGGCTAGACCCTGAGAGAACTTAGATACCAGGTTGAGGTGCTTGCCTTTGACCCTGAGGGCACTGGAGAGCCACTTGAAGGTTCTGAGGAGGCACTGCATGACTGCAAATGTGTTAGGAAAGGAAGCTGCCATCAACATGGTAGATGTGGGATAGAGGGGTTGAACAGGAGTGGGGGTGAGGGAAGGACCAGGGGAAGGGAGCAAGCAGGGGTATGGTGATGGAAAGAGTGAATGGATATGAGAATCCACAGGCTTCTTGGGACAGAAGATACAGAAAGAAGTGCAGGGGGGAGGCCATGCAATGAGATTCACAGCCTAGAAATCAGACACAGGCAACTTTCAAAGATGAATGTTAACTATTTGAGTGTCAGGGGCCACTGAGACTACTGACCACCAGTGCTCCAGAGAGAATGCAGGGTGATGGGAAGGATTCATGGGTGTGTGTTGAAGGAAGGCACTCTGCCCTGTGAGGGTGGGGTGAAGAATGAGGAGAAGAAGGCCCCCCACCCCTGTGAGAGGCATCTACACTGTGGGGATGAAGATTGGATGAGCCTGGGAGGGAGACAGAGCAGGGTCTGTCTGGAAGGTGGGAGGGAAACAGCCGAGCAGGAGGAGGCGCGGGCTGGCTCTGAGAATCTTGGGCATGGAGGAGGTAGTTGGAGCCCGGCAACCTGCAGTTCTCCTGAGGCAAGGGGTGGCAGCGTGGAGGCTCATTCCAGAAAGGCATCCTCCCATCACCCAGCCATCCTGCTTCCCACAAGCGCCCTTCCTCCTCCCCCACTTGCTTCTAATGCGAACCAGCTAGTCAAATAAACCGATATCTGCTGACCCTGGTGCAGAGGCCTGGCTCAGCACCCTGGAGAGTGGATCGCGGCGGGGAGGGGCCTTGGGTGGGCGGAGCCGGTGGCAAGGACGATGCTCTGGGGGCGGAAGAAGAGTCTTAGGACTATCTCCATCCCGCCCCCTTTTCTGCATCTTCCCCATCCAGATACCGCCGTGGGGTTCCTAGCCCAGCACGTGCAACTGTTACCTCCTGGGCTCCAATTCTTTGCCTTCTTCCTCTATGAGAAAAGAACTTTACTGGCAACTTAAGAGATGGCCTCCAAACTTCAGAAGCCTTTGAGTTTGGAATCTGTGACCTTACTTTTTTATGTGAGAAAACGAAATTGGAGTTCAGAAAGGTGAAATAGGGTTCCTTTGGATCCTTAGGATCGTGGCAGAGATGGGATTCCATCTGAGCCTTGGAGCCCCCTTCAGACTTTGGTTGTTCTTGACCTTGTTCCTGCAGACTCTGCTTCTGGGTAACTGTATGGTTGTTGGGGTGGCAATGGGATGGGGAGGAGACCCTCCCTCTCCTACAGTGTTCCAGGAGATTTCTGAGGATGAAGCCACTACTGTTTTCAGAATGGAGCAGAAAGGGTCCGATGGCCAGGTGAGGCTTCATGCACCCACACCCACCCACACCAAGGAGACGCTCTTGTTTTGAACTCTTCTAGCTTAGCTTCTCACTGACAAGCTCTTCAGGCCTGTGAGCAGGTTCTGGGGTGCCAGGGAAGTTTTGAGAATCCAGGTGTGGCTCAGGACCTCAGAGAACATCTTCCCAGCTGGCAGGCTTGGAACAGCAAGATCAGGCATCATACCAAGAAGGAAGACACCAGTTCTGGTCTAGCTCAGTTGGCTTAGACCCAACCTGGCCCTTGCTCCTTCTGAGTGAGAAAGCACTTTGCCCAGGGCTTTCAGAAATCTACAGGTTTACCTTTGGGGCTCTAAAGAGAAGCAAAGTCTCCCTCACATCTCTCCTGACATGTCCCAGACTATAAGACCACTGCATCTGTACCTCTCTGGATGGGCTGCCTGTATAAGCTGGATCATGCCTGTCCATCCATTCCCTTCAACTTGGCTCAGGTTTCCATTCAGTCTCAGGGGCTTCTCTGCGTGGAGTCTGGGAGGGGGCGTGGCACTCTCACAACTTGGAGAGATGAGGTCACTGGTGAGAGCCACTGGAGCTCCTCCATGGAACAGATTCTCCCTCTGCTTTTAAAGACACAGCTCAGAATCTCCTCCAGAAATGTTAACAAGTCCTGGTTGGGTCAGGGTAGGTACTTCTAAGGTAAGGGAACCATAGCTGATAGGCCTGGCCAGTGATAGGTGTTTGTAAATGAATGAGTAAATTAGTGATGGTGTCAGGTCTCCACCCACTTAACTCTCGCCCCACACCCCCCATGTCCCCCCCAAGGTGTAGCATTTTCTCTCCTACACACAGTAGGAACTTACTGAGACAACTCCCTGCCTGTCCCTTTGCTAAGTATTCCCATTCTACTGGGAAAGCTAAGGCATCTTCTTTGGGGATAAGGCATAAGTGCAGCAGGCCTTCTTCAGCCTGTGAACACTGAAGGTTACTGGGGAGGGGGCCGGGGCAGGCTGTGGCCTGGGCACTCACAACTCCTAGAAGCTTAAAATTAGCTTCCACAGTAGCCTGGGTAAGCAGAGTCACCAGTGGTGAGCTCTGTGACAAGACTGTGTCCAAAAGCCCGTCAAAAAATACCTAAGTCTGCTGTGTGGATGTGCCCTAGGACATGACACAAAGACAATAAGGATGCTCAGAGGGGATGGCCCTCTCAGATTCAGGGGGCATTGGAGTGTTCCCACCCTGTGGGACTCTATGATGGGGCCTCAGAGAATCCTCTGCCAGATACTAGCCCTCCTGGCTTTGTTTCTGTGCACATTTTTGCATGCTTTTCTGGTCTCTATTTCCATCTTGATCTCGCTGAGGCTCAGCTCCCTCTCTCCTCTCCTTCTTCATGTATTTCCCCTGTCTCTGCCTGTGTATCTCGGTCTCTCCCTCTGTGTCTTTTTCCTCCCTCCCTCTCTCCCTCTCTGTCTGGGCCTCTCCCTATTCCTCCTCCCTCCTCCCTCCCCCTTCTGCATTATCAGACCTGCTCTAGCCTCCTCCCAGAGCCAGCCGAACAGCAGAGGCAGTGGCAGTCTGAGAGGCAGGCAGAGCAGCCCCGGCAGCAGAGCTGGATCGGGGTGTTGAGTCCAGGTGGAGTCAGGAACGGGCCATTGCTCTTGGTCCCTTTGCCTGCTGGGGGTGCCCCATCCAGAACTTAAGGCAGGGAGGACAGGGAGAGGTGCCACCTTAGTCTGGCTGGGGAGGCAGATGATGAGGAGTGATGGGGCAGGCATGCGGCCACTCCATCCTCTGCAGGAGCCAGCAGTACCCGGCAGCGCGACCGGCTGAACCGTGAGTACTAACAAGGGGGCCTGGGGTCTGGGTGAGTGGCAGCGAAAGGTGCTACAGATGGGGCTGGCAGAGTCCCTCCTGGAACTAGGGTTGACATGGAGCTGAGCCACGTGGGAGGATTGATCCTGTTTCTGGGGACCTGGCTGTGGGACTGACTGCAGCCTAGTTAAGGGGCTTCTGTGCAGAGGAGGAATGCCTGGCATCCTTCCATGAGGCAACGAAGCTGGGGTCCCAGAGAAGGGCTCCTGGCTGGGGGAGGGGTGTTGATGAACCATCCCTGGGGAAGGAGTGGAGGAGTTTGGCAAGGGACTTGGAAAGAGCTCTAGTGACGGAGGTGGAATGGTTCAGGACCATGGAGAGAAACAGTCTTGGCTAAGGGTGTGTGTGTGTGTGTGTGTGTATTGTGCAAGAAAGACTGTGAGTATGATTGTGTAAGAGTCAGGGGCAATACTTTCCACAGAATGGGGTATTAAGGTTCAGGACATCACTTTATGCAACTTTACTTCAAAGCATCTGTCCCAGGATAGAGTTGAGAGTCATGAAGCCCTAGCCTCCTGCTTACCCACATGCAAGGGCTACATGTGTAGGGGAGGCAGGCGCTGTGAGGGATGGCAAGGTGTAGGCAGGTGATGGTGTGTGTGTGTGTGTGTGTGTGTGTGTGTGTGTGTGTGTGTCTGTGTGTGTGTGTGTGTCTGTGTGTGTGTGTGTGTCTGTGTGTGTGTGTGTGTCTGTGTGTGTGTGTGTGTCTGTGTGTGTGTGTGTGTCTGTGTGTGTGTGTGTGTGTGTGTGTGTGTGTGTGTGTGTGTACACACACTCATGCATTTGTCCAAGTCATTGGAGTCCCCTATCGGGCTAGGTGAGGGTGTGTGTTCGTGCACTTGTGGGGTATAAGGAATGTCTTGGGGTGGAGTGGTCTTTAGTGTTCTGGGGTTCCTGGGGGTTGTAACATCTGAAGCAGCCTGCATGTGTTTGTAAGCACCACTGTGTGGCTGTAAGAGTTTACTGCCCATGTCAGAGGGGGAGTGTAGGCCAGTGTGTATGTATGTATGTACGTAGGTATGCATGTGTTGGGTTGTTTTCATATTGTCCTTCCTCCTAATATGTGTACTGTGTTAGGGTGATTAACTGTGCATGTGGTTTGATTGCTTGCGTGTGCATTCGTGTTTGTATGTTATTAATGGTTGAATAACAGTGTTGTTCTCTGTGTGTAGGTGGATATGTGTGTTCACATAATTGTTCTGGCATGGGTGTGTGATCATATGGCTGGTGTGTGAATATGTGTGCATCTTGGTTTTTGTGTGACTAGTGTGCATATGTGTATATTCATTTGTGTAAGGGGGATGTTTCTTTTCTTTGGTGGTTGAGGACACAGCTGGGACACTGTGACCTACCCAGGGAGGGAGGAGGTGGCTGAATATGTGGCCACCTCTGTGAGCCCAGGACAGTTCATTCTATACCCTGTGGAGAGATGCAGGAAAGAAATTGGAAATAATGGCTCTGCCCTCTTGGGCCTCATAAGCTTCATAGACACAAAATAGCTTGAGAATAATGAAACAGTAAAGAACAGCACAAGCTAACAGGTGGGGCGTATATGGGAACAGCATAAGCAAAGGCCCTGGGGTGGGATTGGTGCATGTGAGGAAGAAGGAGGAGGCTGTATAGATGAGTGGTGGGAAGTGGCAGCAGGGGTAGGCAGGAGCTGCATGCTGTAGAACTTTGAACTCCAGGTCCCTTGGGCTTTGTCCAGAGGGCCTCAGGGAGCCTGTGGACATTTTATGCAAGGGAAGGATATGGTCAGATTTGGATTTAGAATCCTCCTTTGGTGGCGCTATTGAGTTTGAGCTGAGATGGTGAGCTGAAGCCAGGAAGGGAGAGTCAGGGCCAGGTCTGGGGCCAAGTCAGCTGAGGGGCAGGTGAGAATAGGACTTTCTGAAGTGAATCTTCAGGGACTGAAGCTAAATGAGAGAGGGAGAGAAGAGAGTGTTGCAGTAACAGAGGCTTGAACTGGGGTGATGAGGGGTTAGGGGGACAAAGGTCTTGGGGATCAGGCAAGAAGGCGAGGACTCAGGTACTGGGTCAGACCCTCATTGAGTTCGTAACTGAGATGCACAGGGGCAGAGATCACAGAACCACCTCCTGCTAGCCAGGGGGACTGTCTGTAGCCTTGCTAGCCTCCCCTGGCCAGAGGCTGTGGCTAGAACTCTTGTTTAGCAGCCTGGCAGCCTCTTTTGGGCCCAACCAGAAGCTCCTGGCTGGCAGCTCTGGGTCAGCTCATTAAGGGTTAACTGCCTCTCTGTTCTCTGCATCCCCGACCCCAGCTCCCCCTGCCCACCAAGCAGCTCCTGCCTCTTCCTGCTTCCTACTCTAGCTCCTGTCCCCAGAGACTGCTGATGGCTTGGCTGGGATCTAGCCAAATGGTGTTGGGGGGGCAGTGCTCCCAGCAGTACCCCTCTCCAGTCTTAATGGACTAGAGTCTCACTCTGAGCCCTACTGCTGTCAAGCCAAAGCCTGCTTTCCCTTGGATGCTGCTGGTGGGTCTCAAAAAATACACCCCCTCAGCATGGTTCCTTCACTGACTCATTTGTTCATTCATTCATTCATTCATTCATCAGAGACTCCCTAGTGCCTGCTTGGTACCCATGGCCTGGTCATTGGGGATAGTGGCCCAGTGTCCAGAGGTGGGAGCTGACACCACACAGTGTCAGAGCTCTGTGGGGAAGATTCTGAAGAAGAGACATTGACTAGGCCTTGAAAGATGGGTCGTGATTGCCCAGGCCTGGAGCAGCAGGAACAGCACATACAGATGGTGGATATGGAAGACCCAGTGTGTTTGTGGAACCAAAATAGCTTATGTTGGCAGGGGCCAGAGAGGGTATGGAGAAGAGTCAGAGGACTGAAGTGCCCTTGTGGAGTCTCCAATGCCAGCCCAAGGGTCTTGGGCCATTCCTCAGGAAGTGAAGCTGGGGAAATTTTTTTTGATAGAATGTTCCCCCCCACCTCCCTGTCCAGGAACCCCTCCTAGATAGCTTTTTTTCCCTCCGAACCTGTGACCCACCCTCAAGTCTTGATTCTTTCACAGTCCAGTATCAAGAATATGGCTCAGACTTGGCCTTGTGATGTCTCCTGTATGTGAGTCCTCTACTCAGCCAGCCAAGGAGTTCCTCAATGGCAGGAGTGGCCTGTCTTACTTCCAACCTTGTTCATGGTACAGGGCTGGGCTCTGAGGCCAGTGCAGACTCCAAGTGGGAGAAGACATCCCGGGTGTCAGGACGTCCTTGTAGGACTGCTTCCTTCTTGTACAGCCCTTGACTTGCATATTCCCATGGTCAGGACATGCATTATTTGCTGCCTGGCTCAGCCTTATGTCCTTTCTCCATCCCGGGTCATTGTCCTTGGAGGGGTAGACACATCCCAGGCAGAGTGAGGGAAACAAGCAACTTCTATTGCAACTGCACACAGAACTGAGTGGGAGGCGGGCCCTGACTCCCCTTCAGCAACCGTGGTAAAGAAGCAGGCATGAGTGGAAAAGGGAGTGAGGATAGATAGCAGGAGGAACTCCCCACCAACGCAGAAGGGCGGTGGAATCTTCTGGCTGAGTGAATGGGCTGATGAAGATGTCCCAGGATGCAAAGGAATTGGAAGCAGAGCCTTTGCCCATCCTCAACCCTCCTGCAGGTGACTGAAATGAGTCAGGGAGAGGGAGACAGGATTGAAGATGGAGGTGAGATCATTCACTGAGCCCCCATTTATGGTGCTACTGTTCAGCTGGACATGGCATCCCTGAAAGGAGATGGACAGAAGCAATGAACATGGCAGGAAGGTTTGTGGGGTAGGAGCTGCCTTCCCTATCTGTACCAGGGTCAAGGGATGACATTTGGAAGAGGGACCCCTGGTGCCAACCTCTGAAGGAAGAAGAGTCACTTCCAGCTGAATTGCAGGACAGCTCCTAGAAGAGGGTGCACCATGTGTAAAGGCCTGGAGGCAGGGCTAGCAGAGCTTAGAGTGGCCTAAGTATGAAGTGCATGCTGGGAGGGGAGCACTGAGAGAGGAGCAGGGAATTGAGGTTAGACAATAGGAAGCACTTTCAGCCATGAAAGTATCCCTAACAGCTCAGACACTGTAGCCACATTCGTAAATTTGCAGCATTCTTGGTCTCTAGCTGTGGTCTTGTCCAGAACCTGCCAAGGGGCTCCACCCTGTTTGAGAATGGGGTGTTCTGTGAATAAACAGACCTTAGAAATGAGGGTGAGGCAGAATACAGGCCCTTGCAGAAAGTAGCATGCAAATGAATGCAAAACAATATGTAAATCAGCTAGTTGGACTTGGCAGCTTGGGCTGGAAGAACAAGACATCACCTGCTTTCACGCTGGCCTCCCGCCCCCTCTGCCCCAGCCCTAGGCAGCCACAATGGCCTTGTCTGCTGTTCCCAGTGCCCTGGCTTGTCTGAGCCACAAGACTGTGGCCTGCAGGGTAGGGAACACAGGCTCCCTGTCAGCACCCCAGTTCTCTTGGGATGTCGATATATTTAGTAACAAGGATATTTTCACACATTTATCTCCCATTGTTCAGCTGCCCGCTCCCTGGGAAAGGCCAGGTCCCTAGTGATGTGACCCACTTCGTGAAGTCCCTGAAGTCACTCTCTCATTGCCCTCTTTGGGAAACAGGAAGCAAGTAGAACTTGGTGCAGCAGGAGGGATTTGTGTCTGATATCTGGGAGGACTTCCTACCAGCCTAACAGTATTGCTGAGAGGTGTGAACCTTGAGACTTCTGGGATCTCCCTCTGACTGTTACTCTGCGTCTAGAAGAGATTTTGAAGACAGGGCAAGGAAGGTAACAGACAGGTATAGATCACTCTAGAGCCACAAAGACCTAGGAAAGTTGCTAAACTTCTCTCTGAACCTCAAGCAAGGACCACAGTGGAGATAACCCTACTGTCTTCACAGGATGATTATGAAGAATCTAGAAGTGCATATCTTAGCACCAGGCATGCAGCAACTGC